TTAAAAAATAACTTTATTGAGATAAAGTTTACCTACCAGACAATTCACCCATTTAGAGTGTACAATTCAGTGATTTTTACTATATTCACAGAGTTTTGCAATCACCAGCACAATCAATGTTAGACCATTTTCATCACCCTGAAAAGAAATCCTGTCCCTTTTAGCACTAACTCTGCATCCCCCACTACCTCCAGCCTAAACATCCACTAAGCTACTTTTGCCTCATTCGATTTGCCTGTTCAGCACAGTGCATATAAATGAAGTCATATATGATCTTTGTGACTAAGTTCTTTTTACTTAGCAGAGTGTTTATGAGGTTCATCCATGTTGTAGCGTGTAGCAGTACTTCATTCACTTTTTGGCGGAATAATATTCCATGTTATACCATGTTTTCTTTCTGCATTCATCAGTTGATGGACATTTGATGGTTTCCACGTTTTGATTATTATGAAAAATGCTCCTGTATATATTCGTGTGCAGGTTTTGTATAGGTGTGTGTTTTCATTTCTCTTGCATATATACCTAGAAGTAGAATTGCTGGGTAACTGTGTAAAACAAAATTTTTAAAACTGCATTTAGCTCTTCTGGAAGACATGGAAAGGGATAAAGTCATAACCCAATAACAGTTTGCGTAAAAGCTCTTTATCTTGCCTATTCTTTCTAACTCCCCCTTCTTTTCATTATGAAAAATAATGCTACCATAGAAAAAGAGAGCGTAGTATAATATACTCATCACCTAGGTTTAACATGTTTTGCATCATTCCTTCATTTGTTGAAAAATTTTTTTTTGCTGAAGAATTTGAAAATAAATTACAAGTAAATACTTCAGCTCACATCTCTAAACAATAAGGCCGTTTTCCTACAATCCCCTGATTTTATTGTTGCTGTGTGAGAGGCTGGCTTCAGGGATGGTGGAGTGGAAGCTGCATTGTCCCTAACAAGTGCATACACACTGGGGTTGATAATACAACAGCACTACTGCCTGTGTGTATATACACAGTTACCGTTTTGGGCTCAAATAGAAATGGCTAGTTCTGTGTATAATAGTAATATTTTATATTAATGTAGTGTTTTATAGCTTTAAAAGTTTGGGCTCTTTCTAAATCTGAGAACCTAGTGGTTTATGTATCTCTGACCCAGGCCCACCCTCCCTGCTGACGTGACATAGTCCTCAGTCACGTGGTCGTTCTTAGTAAGTGGAAAACTTGGAACTGGCACCCAAGCTTCTGACCATCAGTTCTTTGCTCTTCCAGTAGGTCAGAGTGTTCTCACCGTTATCTTTTATAATTCAGAACTGACGCCTCCATTCAGGAACATCTGTGAAACCTGTCCTTTCCTCCTTATGCTCCCTTCTGCCGCCGTGTGGGATCCTCTTCTGTCTCAGCTCCTGCAGTAGCTTTCTAGTTGGTCTTGCTACTACTCTCTCCCCTCTTCAGACTCAGATTTCATGAGTCTCTACCACCTGCAGAGTAAAGTCGAAGCTGATTAGCTAGTTCTGCAAAGATCTTTACTGCTCAGTCCCAAGCTTGCTTTTCAGCTGTAGCTTTTACCGCTTTCTCCCCTGCTTCCAGCACTAGCCTACTGTTCTAAATAATTTATGATCTTTTATGCTTCCATACTTTTGTTCACTCTGTTCCCTACTTAGAATTTTGTTCCTTTTGTTTATCTTTGTGTCACAGCTGCCTAGCACAGACCTGTCATGTAGTAAACGTCACATGTCACTAAACACAGCAGCCTCCTTTATCTTGCGGTTTCACTTTCTTCAGTTTCAGTTACTTGTAGTCAACCAAAGTCCAAAAATAGTAAATGGAAAATTTCAGAAACAAGCAGTTCATAAGTTTTAGATTGCATGTGTTCTGAGCAGCGTGATGAAATCTGGAGCTGTCCCACCAAGGATGTGAGTCTTCCCTTTGTCCAGCGTCTCCACACTGTACATGCTTCCTGCCCATTAGTCACTTTGTAGCCCTCTTAGTTATCAGATTGACTGTCGCAGTATGGCAGTGCTTGTGTTCAGGTCACCCTTACTTGACTTAGTAGTGACCCCAAAGTGCAAGAATAGTGATGCCGGCAGTTTAGATGTGCCAAAGAGAAGCCTGTAAAGTACTTCCTTTAAGTGAAAAGTTTGGAAGTTCTCAGTGAGGAAAGAAAACCATATGCTGAGGTCGCTGAGATCTGCGATAAGAACAAATCTTCTATCTGTGAAATTATGAAGAAGGAAAAAGAAATTTATGCTAGGTTTGCTGTCGCATCTAAAGCTGCAAAATTTACAGCCACAGTGCGTGGTAAATGCTTAGTTAAGATGGAAAAGACATTAAATTTGTGGTGGAACACGTGAACAGAAAAAGTGTTCCAACTGATGGCATCACATTGCTCCAGAAAGCATTGAGCTTGTATGAAGACCTCAGCCTGGGACCCCCTGAAATGAGTGACACCGACCCACTTACTTCAAGCAAGGGGTGGTACACAGATTCAGGAATAGGTTTGAACTGAAAAGTAAAATATTACTGGAGAGGCTACATCTGCCTGTGAAGAAGCTGCTGCCACATTTCTGGCAGAGTTGGAGAAGAGGATTAAAGAAAAGTGATACCAACCAAATCAAGTCTTCAGTTGTGATGAAACTGGGCTCTTCTGGAAGAGGGTGCCCAAAAGAACCTAAAAATTGCAAAGGACGTGCCAGGGCATATGCGGAGCCTGGGAGGCCGGATGAAGTCTGGTTGTATGTGGCAGCGCTGCGGAGCACGTGATAAAGCAGGCCTAGTGTACAGAGCCAAGAGCCCGCACGCTCAGAAGCAGAAACAAAGATGAGCTCCCTGTGTTCTGGCAACATAATCAGAAAGCCACTCGTTTATGGTGGAATGGCTCCACCAAGACGTCACGAGAGGAAGGGTGAGGACAGTACAGGCACACCCGGGAGATGTTGTGAGGTTGGATCTAGACCACCGCGATAGAGTGAATACCTTAATAAAGCAAGTCACAGATTTTTTTGGTTTCCCAGCACATGAAAGTTATGTTTCCACTATGCTGTAGTTGATTAAATGTGCAGTAGCATTATGTCCTTAAAAAAAAATGTACGTACCTTAATTAAAAATGCTTTATTGCTAAAAAACACTAACTGTCATCTAAGCCTTCAGCAAGTCGTGATCTTTTTGCTGGTGGAGGGTTTTGCCTCAGTGTTGATGGCTGCTAACTGATCAGAGTGGTGGTTCTAAATAAGACAACAGATTTGCTGCATTGATCGACTCTTCTTTTCACGAATTATTTCTCTAGCACGTGATGCCTTTTGATAGCATTTTACCCACAGAAGAACTTCCTTTAAAATTGTAGTCAGTACACTCAAACTCTGCTGCTGCTTTACCACTAAGTTTATGTAATAATCTGAGTCCTTTGTTGTCATTGCAGCAGTCTTTACAGCATCTTCACTAGGAGTGGATTCCATCTCATGAAATCACATTAGCAACTCCTCGTCTGTTAAAGTTTTATCACAAGATGGCAGCAATTCAGTCACATCTTCAGGCTCCACTTCTAATCCTAGTTCTCTTGCTGTTTCCACCACATCTCCAGTTATTTCCTCCACTGAAGTCTTGAACTCCTCAAAGCCATCCATGAGTGTTGGAATAAACTTCTTCCAACTTCCTGTTAATGCTGATAGTTTGACCTCTTCCCATAAATCACAGGTGTTCTCAATGGCATGTAGAATGCAGAATCCTTTCCAGGTTTCAATTTACTTTGCCCAGCTCCATCAGAGGAATTACTGTCTATCACAGCTACAGCCTTACGAAATGTATTTCTTAAATGAGAAGTCTATGGGCTACAGAATGGATGTTTGTTAGCAGGCATGAAAACCATGTTAATCTCATTGTCTGTCTCCACCAGAGCTCTTGGGCGACCAGGTGCATTGTCAGTGAGCAGTAATATTTTGAAAGGAATCTCTTCTTTTCTGAGCAGTAGGCTTCAGTAGTAGGCTTGAACTATTCAGTAAACCATGTTGTAAATAGAAATATCCAGGCTTTGTTGTTCCATTAATAGAGCACAGGCAGAGTAGACTGAGCATAATTCTTAAGATCCCTAGGATTTTCTGAATAGTGAGTGAGCGCTGGCTTCAGCTTAAGGTCACCAGCTGCATTAGCCCTAACAAAGGAGTCAGCCTGTCCTTGGATGCTTTGAAGTCAGGCATATTGACTTCTCCTTTCTAGCTATGAAAATCTGAGATGGCGGCATCTTCTAATATAAGGCTCTTTAGTCTATTCTGAAAATCTGTTCTTTAGTGTGACTAGATCTTCTGGATAACTGGCTGCAGCTTCTATATCAGCACTTGCTGCTTCACCTTGCACTTATATGTGGTAGAGACAGCTTTTTTCCTTAAACCTCATGGAGCAACCTCTGCCAGTTTCGGACTTCACTTCTGCAGCCTCCTCAGCTCTCAGCCTTCATAGAATCGAAGAGAGCCAGGGCCTCGCTCCAGGTTAGGCTTTGGCTTACAGAAATGTGGTTGCTGGTTTGATCTTCCCAGGCCACTAAAACCTCCTCCATGTCAGCGAGAAGGCTGCTTCCCTTTCTTTGGTGTGTTCTCTGGAGTAGCATTTTTAATTTTCTTCAGGAACTTTCCATGTGCTCCACAACTTGGCTGTTTGGCACAAGAGGCCTCTACCTTTCAGCCAGCCTCAGCCTTTGACATGCCTTTCTCACGAACCTTAGTCAGCCCTGGTATTTGATTTAAAGTGGTTTACATGCAGTTCTTTCTCTCACTTGAGACTTAAAGGCCACCGGAGGGTTATTCATTGGCCTAATTTCACTATTGTCCTGTCTCAAGGAAGAGGGAGGCTGGAGGAGAGGGAGAGAGACGGGGAATGGCCGGTTGGTGGAGCAGTCAGAGCACACACAACATTGATTAAGTCTTATGTGAGTGTGGTTTGTGGCACCCCAAAAAAAGTATAATGATGACATCAGAGATCACTGATCACAGATAAACAAATAACGATAATCATGAAAAAGTTTGAAATATTTTGAGAATTACCAAAATGTGACACAGACATGAATGTTTTGGGGAAAATGGCTCTGTAAATTTCATTTAATGCAGGATTGCCAAAAACCTTCAATTTGTAAAAAACACAGTTCTCTACGAAATGCAGTAAAGCGAAGAGCAGTAAAGCGAGGCATGCCTGTACAATCAGATGTTTTGAGAGAGGAGAGACCACATTCACATAACGTATCATGATATATGGTTATAATTGTTCTATTTTATTTTGTTAACCTATTTCTGTGCGTGATTTATAAATTAAGCTGTCGTAGGTATGCAGGTATAAGAAAACAATACACACGTATGCATAGGGTTCACTATCCGCGGTTTCAGGCATCCACTGGGGGTCTTGGAACACATTTCCCTGTGGATAAGGTATGACTCTTGCACTCGCTGAGATTTTTTGCAGAAAATAACTTCAGAATCACATTACCATAAATCTTTTCATTGAATGATTGCATGGAGAAAAAAAAACTTAGACTTTTCTAAGAATGTTATACATTTATCCCATTTTGGTTCCTGTACCCAAGTAGAAAATTGGTTATCACACAAATATGTTCTTTCTTGTCTTAGCTCTAATGTTTCCATACCTTTAGAGTAACTCGAGTAGTTTTTTAAAAATTAAGCAGTGTCAACAGTTTTTAATGTTGACTTTTATTTTTTGTGTTGTCTTGTTTAGCTAAAGTAGCTTTACATAGGAATTGTATATATGAAACAATCTTTTAAAATTGTAAATTAATCTGTATTTTATACTTTTTAGGTGTATATGTTTCCAAATATTCAGACTGTCTTCATGCAAGACCATGGTATCATGGGAAGTCTGGTTATGTTATAATTTTTAATCTAATTAAGGTAAAGCCCAGATGTGCTTCTATGTAATATTTCTTTTAAAAACTAAGTTATCAGTCTATGTAATGTTCTTTGCAATCATTTGCTAAACATAGCCCCCTCCAAACACAGCTATCCAGATTCAGAAAAAGTTACTGCTGTTTTCCCTTTCCTTTAAAGAGAAAGCTTTTTTGTTCATTTAATAGGTGATCTAAGGATATGTTAAAAAAAAAAGCTCGAATGTAATACAAAAGGTATTCATTCAGTGAAGTCTTCTTCTCGCCCCTATCCCACAGTGCCACTTTTTAGACATAAATAACAAAAAACAAGTAGCTGCCTGTAAAACAATGTGATTACAGTTAATCAGAGATGAATTTTGAAAACAACACTCGTCTGTTTTAAATTGTCAAAATAAAAAATGTTTATTTTTTTTATCCTTAAAACATCCAGACCTGTTCACACCTTCATTTAACAGATCTCAGAAACTGTTAAATGCCCTTAAATAGTCCAATATAAGTGAATCATTCGATTAGAATTTTCACTCAAATCGTAGGAAAGCTCTAATTTTAGAGATTGGTGGGCTTTTTGAGGATGTAATCTGTGGTCTTGTTGTTTTTCCTTTTCTTTTAGATTTCTTTCTAAGCTTTTTGGTTATGAATCTAACAACACTGATTTTTTTTTTAAGAGTGTGAACTCTTCATATTCCAAAATTTGTCCCCAACAACTGGAGGGACAGCAGCGTTGCACTAGTGGACAGTTACTGCCCTTCCCCCCTTAGTGTTCCCTCTCCTGCTCTGTGATGAGTACTGTAGTTCTGCAGAGAGTATGCCTCTCAGCTCTGAGGACAGACGTTTGCTTTTTTGTTCACATCAGATCGCCTCGCCCTTGGTTTCTTGTCCCTGTGTCCCACCTTGTCTGCTGGGTGTTGCTGTTACAATTTTCCCTGTATGTTCTCAGTTCCCCTTACTGTACTGCTTGAGCCGACCACACCCAGCATCCTGACATGTTTAATCAGGAAAACAAGTCGCTCACTGAGTTATTATTTATATTCTTTGGCTTTTTAGGCGAAAGAATTGCCTTTGGTGGTCCTACTAATGAAGAGGCAGGACCTTAACAGCAAAAAACCAATTTTTAAATAAAAGTAATTAAATTTTTCTTGTAAAGATAAAAAAATAAAGGTTGCCTATAGTCTCTTCCTCATTTTGTTACATATTTGTATATTTTTATTTTTCCTATATTATTGTATTTCATTATATGATAAATGTGACTGCTTTTCTTCTTTTTCTGGACAACATGTAACCCTTGGTGAAGAGACCTCTGTAATGGGCAGTACTGACTGTTCACAGTCTTCAGGGCCTTGGTCTGCTCAGCTCTTCCCTTCCTGTTTGCTCCTTGCTGATGTGCTGGGTCCTGGCATACTAACTGTGCCTTGGCCTGTAATTTACCGTTGCTAACCTAAAGGTTCACTCTGGAAACTCATCTTTTGAAAGTTTAGATTTCATTAATCATCTTTCATGTTATAATCATTGAACATCCAATCTGTTTGGTAAGCTGTACAATTTTTATTTTAAAGAAGTGGTTCTCCTAAATTTGGGGTGATTTCATGTACTCCATTGATACTGTGATAAAAGAAAAGACATTTGCCTCAGAAAGATGCTGAAACATACCAGATTTTTAAATACAATTTTAAGGGATTTGTGGATAATAGAAACTACTATTGGCCTTAAAGATAATTTTCTAAGAACCATAGTTCTAATTCTTAATACAGTTAACTGTTAGTTGAAACACATCCACTTCCTTATTAGGTTACTTGTAAATGAGTCCTAGAGTAAAATTATTGCTATTCTTCAAATAGACATCTGATTAGTCTTAATATTTTCATTCTAGGGAAGAGTCAAGTTTGTGCCTGAGAATTATACAACTAACTATACTAGCCCATCATCTGGCTATGATTGCCACGTGGCTGCAAATACTAATAAGGTTTCTCACAGGACGAGTCATTTTCGAGCCTTTGAACTGAGTCAGGTATAGTCACCTGGGAGTAAATGATTTCCAAGATACATGTCTGTGTCCCATGTTTAACTTTTCAGGACCGGGTTGGTTGAGATCAGCTTGGCGCGTGTGGAATTCGGTAGTCCTGTCCTGATGATACTTCCTTCTCTTCTTTCAGTATTACCTCTATGAGCTTTCAGGCAGCACTGCTGTTGAGCGACCCAGGCAGATCCACCCGTATGTGATCGTAGCATTTCAGTACAGGGAGCCTAAAAAGATGGCAGCGCCAGCCCATAAAAGCATGTGAGTAATTACGCGCATACTTTGTTTTCCTGGATTTGTTTCCTTTGCTCTTATAAAAATGCTGCTTTGTTTTTTTTCCCTCCCCTAGACTTGAACTCAGTGAAAATGGTAAGAAGTTATTTAATTGGTTCCTTTAAGTTTTTTTTTTTTTTAAGTAAATGTTTCGTTCATAAATCAACTAGTTTCTTACCCTCATTTCTTAAAGTTCTCATCTCCCCGTGGAAAGGGAAATTAACTATTCAAGGCTGTCTGCTGTGTGATATAACTCTTTGGTCTTCTTACGGCACACTGGTTTCAGCACAACTGTAAGTATTGAATGTGTGTACTTTACTATGCTTGTGTAATTTTTTAAATTATTATTTTGAGTTCTTGCTTGTTGGCCTTGGCGTGAAATATAGCCATTGTACTTGGTTTTAGATTAGAGTACTTTTGGGCAGATGTATAGAGCATAGGACCATGACACAAGAGATCTAAAGTCACATCTCAATTCTGACCTTGACCTTAGAATAAGTTAGTTTTATAATCTTTGACAACTCATGTTTTAAATTTTAGTATCTTAATCTATTCATGAGAAAATGACCTCTCAGATTAAATTAAATTGATTTGATACTAGAAGTTTGACTTTCCCTAAGAAGCAAATTGAATTTGCCTAGATAGCAGATAATGTAGATTATAGCCACTTAATTATATTATTTAATCTTTATTAAGATTCGCAGTATTTAATTTTCTGATTTTCACATGATTTTCCTAGACTAGTATTAAATAGAGTAGTTGCTACACATATTTACATTATAATGAATTACAGTATTTTCTTCTGGAGAATAGTGAAGGGCATCTTATGAAATCTTTTTTTTTTTTTTTAATCTTTTTTTTTTTTAAGTGTTCTTAGTTTGTATCCCAAACCATTGGAAGATAGAGTTTAATAGAAATAGAAGGTGAAAACAGGTGCGCTGTCAGAATTCATTTTCTTTCTGTTCGCCTTTTTTTTTCTTTTTTTTTTTTAAGAAAAAGGAGAGAGATAGCCCACAGAATAAAGTAAGAATTCTGTGAATAAATAAATGAGAATGGAAAATGCTTCCTCCCTATAGACAGAATAATGGGATTCAAAGAGTACCATTGGCAACACCATGGTAATCAGTGGATACTTAAAGTAGTTGATGGTACTTACATATCTCACAGTATTTCCCCACAACTTACGTATTAATCACAAAGGAGAAAATACAGGCTTTACAAAGGAAAAATACTGCTAAGTGGTTAACGTCATAAGGAATGGAGTAAACATCTTTGTACATCATATCAGCAAGCACGTGAGTAACACATCACGTCTGTGGTATGTAATCCTGCCACTCTGATCAGGAGGAAACAGACATACGCAGATTGAGGGACGTTCTGCAAAGTAAATGGTCTATATTATTCAAAAATACCGAGGTCATTAAAGAAAAAGACTAAGAGACTATTCCAGATTGAAGGAGACTAAACAGACATAACTAAATGATATGTCTATGTTAGAATCCTGGACTACAAAAAATGTTCTTTTGTTATAAAGGTCCTTAGTGAGACAGTTGGCAAAATTTGAATAAGGTCCGAAGGTTAAATAATTGTACCGTACCACTGTTAATTTCTTGATTTTGCTAATTGTTTTGTGGTTGTATAAGGACACACAGAAGTATTTAGGGGAGAAGAGGGTATCTGTCTACAAGTCTGCAAGTATTTCAGAATGAGTTTTAAAGAAGGAAAAGTTACTCATGCGAAATGATGCAAGCCTGGATGTGGTTCATTCTGTGACATGCATGGTAGTCAGTGCAATGAGTGATCAACTCTTATATAGCATAATTTTTAGAAAATTGTCATTACAGTATGAATAATTCTTCCACACATCTGGGCATTTTGGTTATACCAAAAATATATACATTCAGAAAATGTGAACATATTTGAGACCATGGTTTATGGGTCATTTGAAAATCTATAATATTTTTAAAAATACATACTATTCATTCTGGTGCCTATCAATTTAAGGACTTTTTGTGGTTACAATATTTTTGTTTGCATTTATATTAGAAAACTAGATATTATGAAGCTGTAGGTAGTTTCAGTGTTTATTATCTCATGATATTGTTTTCTTTTTTAGACCACATGAACTAGATTTCAAGTATGTAATGAAAGTGTCGTCTTTGAAAAAAAGACTACCAGAAGTTGCCTTTAGAAAACAGAATTACTTGGAACAAAAAGGTCTGTTCGCATGTAATAATAATAATACACTGTATATCCTGGGCTTTGTTCCAATTATTTTCCTCTCTCTCTCTCTCTCTCTCTCACACACACACACACACACTCATTCACATTCACATTTTTACTTAGGTTTTGCCTTAAGTGATTCTTAAAAGGGTCTTTTGTGATAATTGTAGAGTTGCTGTGTTTCATTTCCTTGGAGGTTAACTAGAAACTGTGAAAGATAGTTTCATCTAAGATGGCAAAGACTAGTATTAATATTGAATACTAAAGGATTTAAGCAAATGGACATGATTACAGGTAGTTGAAGGCTTATAACCAACTCCTTTTCGAGGAGAATGGAGTTGTTATGATTGTTTTCACTTATTTATATATTGTACTGCTACTACTTATTATTAAATTTCATGGGGTAACATTGGTTAATGAGATTTTATAAGTTTCAGGTGTGCAGTACTGTAATATATCACTTGTATATTGATTGCATTGTGTGCTCATCACCCAAAATTTAGTTACGTACTTATAAATGAAGAAAAAAAGAAAACATGAGAAGGAAATTCCTTGGTTATTTAATTCATGGAACATTGATATTTATATTATTTATGTAGTATTCACTTGTCTTGTTAATCCTGTAGTAGTGTCACTATAAATGAAAGCATTGTTTTTAAATACTTTACACAGTAACTTTTTATTAATGTGTTTTATAACCAAAAACAAATAATTTTTTGAATAGTATTCCTAGTTTTTCACCTTTTTTTAACATATAAAATGAATTGGTTTTTAGGAAAAAAAGTAATAGCATTTTAATTAAAAACTGTTCTGCTTTTCTGATTTTCTCCACAGTCTCTTACCAAGATATGTGCTTCAATATGTATGAGGTGGAACTGTCAAACAAACAAGGGGAAAAAATAGATAAACTAACAGAAGTCATTAAAAATAAGCAGTTGGTAAGAATCATCAATTTAAAATGTAATAGTTTTTTCCTTAAATTGAAAATTTGCTAATTATGGCTGTTTCTAAATTGAATTATTTTAGTTTGCTGAAAAGATTTTCATCATTTAATATCTATTGACATATTATTGATATAACAGTTATTGACTAACATTTCATCCCCTTTGTATCTTAGTTTACTTTTGTGTTTCACTAATCAGTTTATACTCCCGATTTTAGGAATAAGAGGACAGTTTTCTCAAATCCTTTTTTATTTTGTTTTCTGACAGAATTGAGTAGATTCCTAGTCTTTTGCACTTGGGAGATAGTTCTTTTAAAGTGACTGGTATCCATAGGTTTATAAGGAAAACAGAGTTGCTGCTTCTCCTGTTTCTATAGTGTAGAAAGTAAGACTCCACTGAGAAGTAGATAACGATCCACAGACTTCTCTTTGTTCTGTTCACTGGGTTCCTCAGTGTAAGGGTAGAAGTAGATGCCGGCTCTACAGTGAATGCTTCCGAGACATCCCAGAGGAGATGTGTGAGTATGGGACAGTGACCAAACAAGTGTGAGCCTTTTAGTGACATGATGGACTGTCCCCCTGGTAGATAGCGAGAAATCAATAGATTAAATAGAAAATTTATATAAGCTGTGAATAAGCTGTGTCAGAGATAGTGTCAGTTAACATACTTTAAGTCGCATGTCACAAGCACAAACTGGCTTAAATAGTAAAGGGCTTTAACAGGCTTACTTTTCATTATAGGTGATGAGGCGGGTTCAAGTACTATTTCCTCAGGGGTCTTTCTCTCTTTTAGCTTCACCCTCCTCTGTGTGATAGCTTCTTCCTGAGACTGCTAGTCAGGGCTACGTGCTTCTTGTCTGCATCCAGAGAGTGAGAACCCCTCCTCCAAACCATCTCTTCCGCTTCATTTCGTCTGCACATCCCTCAGCCAGGAACTGCAGAGGGAATGAACTACACCAATTAGCTCAGGCCTTTCGGTGCCCACCTTCTAGAACCTGGCGTGAGAGCCCGGTCCGCAGCTGGGAGCGCTCCACGGGAAGGAGGCGGAATGGGCCACATTGGACACTTAACAGTTATTAAGATAACTATTGGATATCTACTGTAGGATTGTAGGCTGGTCTTTTTTTGGAGTAGCATAGTCTATTTTACATTTGGAAGTTATAAGGAAGAAAGTCCAAAGATGTTCTCAGAAAATGCATTAGTGAAGGGACTACTTTGTGAGTGCTTTGTAGTATTAAAAATAGTAGAGACTTGGTGCAGAACTTGGCTTTGAAACCTGTTCATTCATAATAATTACTTATAGGAATTACATGTCACGTAAGGTCCTTTCTCCTCAGTGCACCATGCTTTTCTGGCTTCATTATATTATGAACAATTTTTACCTGTCAGTCTCCTCAGCTGGTGATGCTGAGTTCCTGGAGAGAAGGTATCCTGTCTTAAGCATTCGACACCTTGATGCCTGGTGTATAGTGGATGAGCAATAAATGTTCCTAGAGTACAATGTATATGGGCTTGTACCTAGAACACTGAACTGCAAGAACACTACAGAGCAAGTTCTCTTTTTAAAAGGGTGCTAAGGTCTACGGCCACGCCACCCTAAACACGCTTGATCTTGTCTGATCTCGGAAGCTAAGCAGGGTCGGGCCTGGTTAGTACTTGGATGGGAGACCACCTAGGAAGACCAGGTGCTGTAGGCGTTAAAAAAAAAGGATGCTAAGGACATGTATGGCTAGATATTTTCTGTGTATAAATAGAGAGAAGTAGGTATTTAAAAGAGTCTGTGATTTCTCCCCACAAAGGTTAAAAGGGGAACTTTATGCAGCCCTTTTCAGTACATCATTTGAGAGACTGATACTTTATACTATATACTTGTTTTATTTGCACATCTTTTGGTAGGCAGAAATATATGATTTTATGTAGATAAAGGGATATTACTTTTCATCTGTTTTACAAAACTAAATTGCAGAACAATGTAGAAGCTAATTATTGTTACTTTTGCATTTTACATCAATAGAAAATGAAACAAGAATTATCTCTCTTTGCAATTTAATAGATACCAAAGCTGTGGGTGTATATAACTATTATTTTGTTTATTCAGTAATTCTTTCTTGAGTGCTTACTGTGTCCCAGAAGCAAAAGTAGAAAATAATCCCAGCCATTAAGGGACTTATAAGATCGTGGTGAGACAAAGACGTAAATGCATAGGGGCTTCGGCAGAGGCTTATGGCGACTCACAGTAGTGATTGTTCTTGTACCGACACGTTAGTCTCATAATTGAGTTCTAATATAATACTTAGGAAAGAAGTCTCTTTCATACTTGAATTTATTAATTTACCATATTTTTAGGCTTACGACCTATCAATTTTTGAAATAGAATGTTTTATCACATTATAAAATGATATATTTGTTTACTTTTTTTAAGTGAAAAATTACTGTATGAACGTTGGGTTTTATCCTGTTTGTATATAGGCTTTAGAAATGGTGAATAATGGGGAAGAACTGTTATGTTTATGATTTAGAATGATAGCTTTTAAATAACTTCCCCTGACCTGGGGACAAAATTCCCCAATTTACTGTAAATGTTAAAATTTCAAGATTTTCTTCTTGAGCTCAAGATTCCACTCGGACTCGTGGAGGGGAAAATAGAAAGGAAGAATTTATTTTCATCAGCATTTCTTATTGCCACAGGACCTAATTATGTTATTTTCTATTATTTTCTATCTCTTAGATGGTAGAGAAAGGATTCTTTTATTGGATACAATCTTCCAGTCATTCTAGTTCCAAGATTCTGTGACATGTTGTAAACATGAGCTTAAGATGCTAATCATAAGTCTAATCATCTTGAATCCATAGTGGCTAAAGGGTACCAGATTACTGAGGCAGCGGTATGAAATGTCAGGCATCTCAGTGAAAAATGAAATAAGCCTTTTCTGATGGATTTGTTATGTTGAACATTGTCCTAATACTAACCCTTAGTGTTCTAGTTATTATATGTGGCCCTATCAGGGCCAAGGTTACTTGAGCGCTAAGGAACTTGCAATTTCTGCTGCTGGGGGCAAAATTCTCCTGATTCCCATAAACACTAACATTTCAAGATTTTTTAAAATTTATTTTGCTTTTTATTAGCTCAGAATTCACTGAATAGTAGTATAGTGGTATGGGAGAGGAAGAGGAGAATTGAATCTTCTTTCTGTTATGTTTAAGGCACTCATCAAATGCTTAGAAGATCAGGGCGTTTTCATTTTGCTTCCATCATCAGCCTTATTATCAGAAACAAGTAAGGACAACTTTTTTTTAAAAAAAAACTTTTTTAATGCGTTTACTTTTGTAAGATGAACACCCTAACTTTTCTCTGGTTCTCGTTCTGTGTAGGTTTTGGCGACGAGCAGATAGGACTGCATGGGTTACATGTATTCCATTCGTCCCGGGCAGCAGGTAAGAGCACAGTGGCTTCTGGTTCACTAACTGTGTTACGTTTTTTCATCCTCATCTTACTTAACCTCTCAACCCTGCTAATTATTTTCTTTTAAATAACTCTTCCTTTAACCTCCCTAGTTGATTCTCCTCAGTCCCTTTGCGGGCTCGTCCTTTCCTCTAAGCTTCACACCCACATATCCTCCTGTCTGTGGACTTTATTTAAGATGTTTCAGGTGTTCCTCAAATTCAGCATGTCCAAAACTGATTCTTTTGTTGTTGTTGTTACTGAACAACAATAGCTAGGAGAATAATACTGTAACGACTACGTACGGTAATAGATGGTGACTGGACTTAATATGGTGATCACGTTGTAAAATATATCAGTGTTGAATCATTTTGTACACTTGAAACTAATATAATAGCTTGTACCTCAACTAAAATTAAAAATAAATTTAAAAGTTTACCTCAAACCCCCCCCCCCCCCACGATAGCTAGGAGATAACTTTTATCAATTTGCCAGGTAACTAGGATTCAAGGCCTTCGAGGAGGCAGGCCTTTGTCTGGGCGCCTTGTCTCATTCTCCTTTATCAAGTGGTGTTTGCCTCCTTCAGACCAAGAATTGGCTCTTGGGGGCAAAAAAAATCTTACACGGTAGATCGATAGCTAGGAGATAACTTTTATCAATTTGCCAGGTAACTAGGATTCAAGGCCTTCGAGGAGGCAGGCCTTTGTCTGGGCGCCTTGTCTCATTCTCCTTTATCAAGTGGTGTTTGCCTCCTTCAGACCAAGAATTGGCTCTTGGGGGCAAAAAAAATCTTACACGGTAGATAAATAGATCTACAGTATATTTGTGGTATTAAAATTTGAGGGAGCAGTGAGGAAGCAAAGTCTGAAAAAGCTCTTGGGGTGGAGGGATTAAGGAATAATATCAGAGGAGCAGCACCGACCTAGTCTAGTCTGTTATTTATATCTGTCCGGTGTCGGTTTAAATTTCGCTTTATTGATTCTCTTCTCATCACCACTCTGACTTCAGTGAGGATCTCTAGGCTTATCATCAATAGAATTTAAACATTTATTTGTATGCTGTTTAATGCCTGCCTTTCTTGTATTCTACTGTATCCCTACTACCTAGCAATGCCAGGTACATAAAAAATAATAAACACTTGCTAAACAAATCATTTCTTTTTGTCATTTGATGAAATTTTTCTTGTTTTATAATCATGCTCTATATGTTTAACATACATAGCGTTTATAAAGTCACAACCAATACAAAAATGTTTTTAAAGTTGATTTCTTAAAATTGCATTTAGTTACTCAAAGTTGAGAACTGCACTTTCTTTGGCATTACTTCTTTGGATTAAGCAAAACATTACTAATTATAACAACATAATGGCAATAGCTACTGGCATTTTTCATCCATTTACTATGTCAGGTGTTGTGCTAAGTATATAGCAGCCCTTAAAATGGATATTCTTATGACAGTTTCAAAGATGAGAAAATTAAGACTTAAACTTGCCCAAGGTCAGACAGCTGACTCTCACACTGGCTTCCCACGGCTGTCCCCTACTGCCTCCATCTTCGGCGAGAGCTTTGATGTCATTCTTATTTTCAGATGCAAACTACCACTCGAATAAGAAACGTTTATACCATTTGGTGTTGAACAGCACAGAATTTCTCGTTGAGTAAGCACTGGAGTCTCATTGCCGTGTTCACATCCTCCTCTGGCTCAGCAAGACATTTTCTGTTTATGGTCGTTCATAAGTTCAGAGCTATGGTTATTTGTTTTAAATTGAATGATACTTTGCTTAGCAGACTTAAAAAGTTCTTCATAGATCTTATAATAGTCTGTTGCAAATTGTTCTGGGTTCTGGGTTCTTCCTTTCCAAATTCTTGAAATGATGAAGTCGTGTGGAAAAATATTACTCTAGTGTGAACATTTTTGTATTTTATTTTCCTTCATGTATTGCTTTTTAAGTGATAAACTGCAAAGGAATTTTTAAGGTGTAGCCACATTTTCCTCTTTATTCATATTTGTTGTTCTGTTCCTTTTCCTAATACCTGCTCAAGTGCAAACGTATTTAGCTAGGACTGACTTTTAATTTTGCAGTTCCTTTTTCTTTAAAAAGAATGGTGTGATTTGTACTTCAGCTTCGTAGGCACCAGAGGTCTTTGTTATCTTTGGGTTTTTATTACAGATAATTTAAATTTTCTAGAATTTTATTGCCTACTTCTCAGTGATATGACCTTTTTTATTTATTCCCCTCTTACTGTTTTCCTTTAGGTTACTGACTTACAGAAAAATTAGCTTTTCAGTCAAAGAATGAGCTAGAGAGAGGAAATGAAACAGACTAGTCACTTAAAACAACTTTTTAAAAAATTTTATTTGATAGAGGTAATGACATTAACACCAATAGTTACCCTGAGATTTGGGGCTTACTGAAGGGTTTTACTTTTTTTTAGTTCAGTTGGTTTGCATTCTAACCTCTTAAAAAAATTTGAAGTTATATAAGGTAGAGATAAAATAAGACATATTTTAAAAGCAGAAAATGATAATTAAAGAGTAGGAAAGCAAATCTGCCACCTCTGAAAGCCAGTGTGTTGCTCTGCTGGCACATCAAGCTTTCGCTGGGCTCCTGATCACATGAGATAGAGCTGGAGGCAGGGCTGCCCTTTTCGTTCTGCCTAGTGATTACATTTGAATGATTCTTTTGCAGGTGTGTGTGATTGCATATATACAGATACAAATAGTCATTAAATGTACCGATAGTCTTTTATTAATTTCTCATTGAGAACATTGTATCATATTTAACCATCCTATGATTTTATAATCTAAAGTATTTTTTTCTGTGTATTTTTATAAAATTAAACAAGACCAAACAAATTCATGTTTTTAACATATCTATATGTATTTTAGAGCTGAAAGACTTGAAAGTTGAAGATGACATTTCATTGAAGGTGATACCTATTTTACCTGCCCTTAATTGTGCCCTGCTAGAAGCAAAGAAGTCATTCACTGAAGAAGGGCTGTGTCCAAACACATTAGTAAAGCATAACTTCCAAGAATTGTACAAGGTGGACAGAAGTCTTTCATTGACTGTTTCTCAGGATGAAGTGAAAGAGACTGCGTTATTTGGCAAGCTGTCCAATGGTTTCGACTTGGTTCCTCCAGCTGAAAAGTGCCCTTTACAGTCTTTAACTCAGTTGAAGTCTTATTTTTCAGACCCTAGTGGGTACATTTTGGAAGTATCTACTGCGTTAGATTTACTGGCAGAGCGTCCACAGTCTCCTAGTATTTTAGATGGAATTTGTGATGCTGGATTTTCTTTAGTTATGACTCCAGATCCTGAATTTCTTGACTCAGAAGCAGAAGTAAGAAAAGAAACTGAAATCGAAAAAAATTCTGACAAAATGTTTAAAGCAAGGAAGAGAACTGTGGCTCCGTTAAATCCAGCATCAAATCTGAGAGTCCAGCCGAAGAGAAAGGCAAGCATGCCGCCTGTGGTGCAGAGTAAAAGGGTGAACTTGTGCCGTCCCTTCCCCAAGAGAACTCCCGCTGGAACACACAAGGGCGCCACCTCTCCTGCCACTCTCAAATTAGTCAAAGGACAGTTTCCTCAGAAAAGAAAAAGAGGTAAGGCCGATTTACGTGAACCGTTAAAATGAGGCGTCAGGACCGTTGTATTCTAACACTGTTCCTGTCCGGTCCCCGTGGACGGCAGCTTGGCAGTATCAGTAAGATGTGTTAGAAACGCCAGCACTTCTCTCCAGGTGATTAGTCTGCGTGCTTGAGTTTGAGAAGTACTGATGTTCATACCAGATTAAAATCAAGAAACAGAAAACTGGAAGCTGTCTTAAAAGCCCACTCACCAGAAGCTTATATTTCACTTTAAAACTGCTCAAACTTTCAGTTATTTATGTACCATTGTAGAAAGAGAGTTTATCCAGTGTCTGAGCTATCCTCAGACAGATAAGAGTGTAGGAAGAGCATCTTCCAAAACAGGCGTACGAGTAGCAGCGAAAAGCGAAAACCGATAGCCAGGACATGCGTAAAGGGCGGGCAGATGGCTGCAGCCCCCAACACCAAAACGGTCTGAGACAGAATTTCTAGTCCTTCATATGTGTCAGAGTTTTACAGATGGTCACCTGGATCCTGCCGTAGACCTATTGAAACAATGTCTAGTGGCCTAGGGATATATGTAGTGAAACACTTCTACAAGTGGTCTTGTTGCCTCCTGAAAATTGAGTGAGAATCAGTCCAGAAACACTTAGCATGTAGTCAGATGCATTTAGCAAACAGCACAACAAACAACACGATTTTGCCTTAGAGTCGCCTCAGTTTATGAGTAGTGTATTTTGGTGAAAGTAGGGAATTATATGCTGTATGACTCCTTAGAGACGGAGTCAGCAAGCCGTGGCCCCTGAAAGGTCTCTGAAGCTCTGTCTCTGGCCACTTCACACTCCGTGGGCGGAGGTGAATGGTTGTGACTGGGAATGCATGGCCTTTGGAGCTGAGTATATGTACTGCCTGGCCTTTCACAAAAATGGTTTGCCAACCCTTGAAATTGGTCTCTTTTTTACATTTCACTATAGAAACTTTAGTGCCTAAAGAAGACACATCAGGGATATGCAGAGCTTCAGGATTCTAGATAATTAAGGTCTTACACTGTGGTTCAACAGATAGTTTCCAATGGGTGCGTGAGTGTGTGTGTGTTTAGGAACATGGTGGAAAGTATGGCAATCAGACAATACAGCTACCTACAGATAAATTGCAGGCCAGCCATACTGAGTTTCTGCTCTCTATGAACCAGTTTACTTTATGCTACTGAATAAATTATATGCAGTCCAACACACATGTTGTCACTGTTTCTCAAATGTTTCACATTTCATCCGCTATCAGAAATGTTTTATGTTGTAGTCCAGTACACACAAATTCATACGTGACTGAAACAAAAATTTCAAAAAACATTTACCCTGTGTGTAATACAATCTGATATTCTCTATTCTGTTTCATTTAAGAAAGACTTCTGGTTGGAGCCTTTCAGTTGATGTTATAGTCCACCAGTGTATTATTGCATGCAGTTTTGGAAACATGGCACTGAGTGGTAGAGATAGGCAGAAGAGTGTCTGCAGGCACGTGTCATGTTCACGTCTGCTCTCCCAGGACTGGGTGTGAGAGAGCACCCCTTCCTGCCTCTACAGACGTTAAACACTCCCTGGGTCTCGGCTGTGTCACCTTGTTGTCTTTCTCCTTAAGTTAGTTTTAACTGGAGTCCTGCTTGATTTATTTTCTTAGTTTGTTTATATTCCTTTCTTTATGCTAAAAATTTTAGCAAATGTAACTGGACTGGAATGAGAAGTCTTACTTCTTAAACCAATATGCTGCTTTATCACCTGTGATAGCTCAGTAGGAAGGACAACAGCTAGTGCCGGGGAAATGTACAACATTGAGAGCCTTAAAACTTTTCTAAAACCACTCCTTCCTCTGACTCCCAAAAAAATGAAATGTAATTGGTCTTGTTTCTGCATTTCACTGACAGTCATGACAGTTTCTTAGACTGTTCAGTATCGTGTTTCTGTTCTCATTTGGAAAGAGTTTTCTTTTTAATGTAATTTAAAAATATTTGCCAGCGTTCATATGGGTGAATATTTTATAGATCATCTTTGGGGGTAAATTTTTAGGTGGGAATAGCTGAAATTATATAAAGTCAAAGTTTTTAAAAAGGAGCACTTATTAATATTTTTAACTCTTAAAAGTGAAACACTTTTGTTGTGTTCCATAAGCAGGTGGTCAGTAGTTTTGTTTTCATCACTTACTTCCATTTAGCTATTTCCTTCCGTGTGAGAAGCAAAGCTGAGCATTTGTAAGGGACAAGCAATTCTAATAGATTTATAGGAAATTAAATCAGGTGAGACTTTGTCCGGTGAACCTTTTTCAGTCTTATCATAAAAGATGACTTTGGGGGTGGTGAAGTGAGATGTATAAGATAGCATTTTATGAATATTACTCTCTTCTCTGGGGTGGATCAGTTTAACCACACTGACTGATAGGACTGTGCTGTTTCTGTGTGCATTGTGTCCAGTGCTGTGAAGCAGCATATTCAGCCTTACCCACCTTGTCAGGAAAAATTATGGAGTGTTTTTAAAAAATTAAGTCCTGCCTTGTTTTTATAAAGTTTTTTTCTTTACCTGGTAGAGATATAGACCAACACTTAGCTAGTTTATATTTTTATATTTATATGGGAACTTCAGCTCTTTGTTAAAAAAAATCTTTTAATGAAATACCCAAAATTTTATGTTTTATTCCTCATTACTAAAGTTAGCCCCTAAAAAAGAAAAAAAGAAGAACTATAGTGATAAATATCTGAGCCCCCTGCCCCTTAAAAAACGGTGTCTTTTCTACATAAGGTGCTGAAGTGCTGACTGCACAGTTTGTACAGACAACTAAATTGGATAGGAAAAACCAAGAAGCTCCTGTTTCTAAAGATGTTCCAGTTGCAACGAATACTAAAAGAGCAAGGAAACAAGAGAAATCTCCAGTCAAAACTGTTCCAAGGGCTAAGCCACCCGTGAAGAAATCTCCACAAAAACAGAGGGTAAATGTAGTGAAAGGCAATCAGAATCCCAGAATCAGAAAGCAGCCACAACCTGGTAAGAAATACTCTTCCTGTAAATTTAAACACCACAGTACAGAATACGCAAGACTGCAAGATAGTGTATTGAAATAATGCAAGGACAGTTAAAATCAGCCAGCAATTCTTGCTATATTCTGTAGTTCAGACACTAACAGGACTAAGTAACTTGGTTTCCTATTATAAATAAGAAAAGGACAGATTCAAATATCACAAAATAGACCTACTTTTTAGTTTGTTTAAAGCCTGCACATGAACCATCTATAAAAGTTATGAATGGCCTTTTTTATGACTGAATGCACAAGCAAGTAGTACCTGGTAGGATTCTTCTGGAACATAATCGGTTACAAAAAAATGAGCTATTCATTTATTTATCCATAGGGAATTGTAAAGAGATTGTTCACAATAGTAATCCAGAATCTTACATTTGGTTTTAAAAGGCATTAATTTAAAAAAAGTTTTTCTTTCCTAATTTTGCTTAAGTGGATAATGACGTCTAGTTATATGAACGACACCTGACTTACTTTAGTTCTGAATCTCCAGCTGCTAGAGAGGTCCTCTCTACTCTACAGTGACAGTTCCGTTGTCTCTGCAGACTTGACCTCTGAAGCGGAGCACACCCCAGCGTCTCCCCTAGGCCCGCGTCCAGGCTTAACCTTCCTCTTCCTGTGAGCTCAGTGCACTTCTTCCAGGCTGAAAAATTCCACATTTTACTCAGCCTTTGATATTGAGTCCTAATGTGTTGTATGTATGTTTTTTAAATTTCGTTTTAACAGAGGCTTCATTTCCTCATACCTTTATATTTCTATCAGTTTCTGTCTAATCTCCCTGATTGCCTTTCTCCCTCATCAGTTTTTAGATTAAAAAAAAATCTTATATATACTGGGAAATCAGAGAAATTACAGTTTTTGGGTGGAGAGGGTGACGGTATTACGGGTGAGCTCCTTTTTTTTCTAGGTTTCTTTCATCCTGTTTTATGACGGAAAATCTTGTAAAAGCGCATCACAGTCTAAAACCCAAGCGTTTCAGTTCTGGCCTCCATGCCCAGTGGAAGCTCTCCTGCTTGTCTCTCGAGACAGCTGATGGTGTGGGCTTACCCCCCGGCCCAGGTTCTCTCCTGCTCTTTCCTAGTGTGTCCCCTCCCCGCCGGCCTGGTGCCTCCCCGCGTGTCCCCTGAGGCCTCTCTGCACTCGTGAGCTTGCCTCCGCCAGTCCCCTTCCTGCTCAGCCAGGTCACCGCCACAGTGAGGTGATTCCTCCTGTTCTGATTGTCACTGATCTCCCTCCTCTCATTTCTTTTTGGGTTTTTTGAGAACATCTTAGAATTAAATTCATACTGTTTTCCAGCCATTTGATTTATCTTGGTCCTGTCTTTCCAGTTAGTTTATAAACATGAGCACGGATGCATATATGATGCGTGTATTCTTAGCCATGTCATTTGAATTCTTTGTACTGAGTTGACTCTTAGATAGTTACAGACTAATTGATTAATGGGAAGGAGGTTTTCAGTTGCGTATTGGCAGAAAAGTGAGCCCAGAAAATGAGGAGTTTATTCATAGTGCATATTCAGAAATAGGCTGATTTGTATTACAAATACCTGTCTATATAGTGCAGCCACATTCCAGGTTAAAATTTTAGACTACTACCATTTGAACAATCTCTCAATTTTTCTTTTATTTTTTAATCATCTGTACTAATCTGTTTTGTTTCTTATACTTGAAATATCAGATTTTAAGAAGGCTCAATCATTTTGCTATTGAAACTAATGATTTTCTGTTCTTTCTAAAGTTTTTAGTGTAGTTTTTATTTACAGAACTCTATATTTTTTTGTATAATTTATTTGGTATTATCTTACCTGTATTTCCTAAAAGACATAGGTTATCAGTATTGTATTTTTATTGTTCGAGAACCTCTAACAAGGTGGTAGTTAAATGATTTGCCTGAGACTACACATATTTATTACACTGAACCTTTTTTCTTAACTTCAGTGCAGTCTTCTTTGTATTAACTTTATTCTTAGGTGATCTGTGTGAGAGCCATAATATTAACAAAGACAGAATGCAAGTAGTGTCAGTAAATACATCAGATCATAAAATGAATTTTACGTTTCCAACATAGCCATGGTGCTAACGAGACGATCCTCTGCGTTGGGTCACTTTCTTCCACCTAGCCCTTTGCATTTTGCTATTTTAGATAAAAACTGGACAGTGATTAATTTTACCCTCTCCACCGAATACACACACCTTTCTCGTTCTGTTTGATGTTTTCTTCTCTTTAAGTATATCAGTCACTGGCCTTTGCCAGACAGGTTAATAGTTCCTTCAGACCCACTGCTGTTAATTAAAAAGGGAGCACAGTTGACTATTCTGTCCATCTGCCCACTTGCTCCACGGAGTGTTGCCCCATATTGTGGATGCAAGGCAAATGAGTAGACTTGATTATCTGCAGAGAGGAGAATTAGCAGTAGACAAGGAGATTTCCTATTTTGCAGGAAAAGTAGAGAGGAAATGTTTTCAGTGCAGAAATTATAGATTAAAAGGTGATGAAATCAGCAATTCTGAATACTTGTATGACTTTTCTAATTTTTTATTTATTACATTATAATTAAACATCAATATGGTTTAAATCATCTCTTTTGAACTTAGATGATTTCTCTAATAAAGCACTTATTAAGGGAAATGATTTCTAGGAAACTATGTTAACTTTCTATAATATATAGTTCAAACTGGAATTTTTATATCCACACTAGACTGTAAGCTCTCTGAGGGCAAGGTTCTTGTTCTTGTTTTAGTTTCTGTTTTTGTTTTCTGCTCTTTGTGTCTTCTGTGTCTTCCTTTAGCTGAGCAGGATGCCTTGTGTGTCATTCAGCACATGCGCTTTTGAAGGTTGAGTTCCTGTTAAATTAACATGAGTACCACTTAGGACTGGTTGTTCTGGTAAATACCGTGCAGTAGCTCTGAGAGTCAGGAGAGACCTCAATCTGACAGTAGAGTTTCAATAGACAGTCTGTGCAACATAGCAAGAGGTTTTTCTTAAATATATTAACCATTGATTTTCACTAAGTCACAGTAATATGGCAGAGAATTAATTACATAGAAATCCAATGCTATGTCTTTTTTTCTTTTATGCTGAAGTTCAAGAAACTGCTTCACAGCTTCAATCAGAAATGTCATCAGATGGGCAAGAAGATGCTAAGAGCATAAATATAGCTCAACGAGATAGTATCACAGTGGCTCAGAAAGGTCCAGCTGAGGACTCCATGGTCAACTGTGATTCCCAGGCCCTAAACCTGCTGGCGGACCTAGCACTGAGCGCTGCCACCTCTGCCACACCAGCATCTGAGCCCAGCAGCCTTCCCCCTTCCTCTGAATTGCCACAGAACGATGTGCTTCCTAAAGAACATTGTCTGAGCAGTGCGTCTGACCATGAATATCACAGAGGAGTTAAAAGTCAGAAGGGTGGACTGTTGCCTCAACCCTCGTCTGAGAAGAGCGACCCACCGTCAGGCTCTACCATCGGCCAAGAGGGAGCATGTGCGGACCCTGGCAGGCAGAGCCCTGTCGACGCCCAGGCAGCACTTCCTGAAGAAACACCAGAAGCTTCTGATGCAAGCCGGAGCTCTTTTGTTGCCGTGGAACATTCCTACGCCCTGCTTCTTGCAGAACATTCAAAGAAGCTGCTGCAGCAGAGAGGGGTCCCAGGCCCCGCCTTTGCCAAGAATGGCACAAAGGGCTCTGAGGCCGGAACCCCAGTGGGGAAAGTCATGCCGTTCAGGCACCAGCAGAATACTTCCCCTCTGCAGAAGCCTCCTGCGGACCTGCTGCTCAAGCACAAGGGCAGACTGCTGCCCTCCAGCCTGAGAGACTTTTCCTGCTCTCACACCGTGTCTAGCTGCGACGGCTCCTTTAAGGTCACTTTCAAATGCGAAGCAAACTATGTATTCAGCTTAGACAGCAAATATACCAACAACCCACTGGAGAAAACTGTGCTAAGAGCATTACATGGGTAAGTAGGAGTGACACTTGATGAAAATGGAGGTGAATTTCCTGCCGAGGTACGCATTGTGAGCAGGGAGACTTGTGTGAGACTTGGGGAAGGAGAAAGTGTAGTGTGTGAACCCAGTGACTCGATGTTAACATAAGCTGCCGTGTTTACTGACAGTTGAGAATATGGGGCTGGTTTTTCCACTGCTGATCATGTGCAGAACTTGGCCAGATAACTTTAGCCTCATGAACAGCTTTCCATTTTGATGTGCTCCTTCATAAGCTTTTGCAGTCTTTGAATTATAATCTTTAAATGATATCTTAATGTAAAATAATGATAGAAAGAATGCATTATGGACTGAATTCCAGAAGAAACATCTAAAGAGTTACTTCTGGCTTATGAAGTTGATCAGATAGCTATGAGTGGGCGGTTTTACATGAGGCAGTTCTGTAAATCTTCCTTAATAAGGGGTCAAGGCAGCAACAGCAGAGCGACAGAAAGCGCAGGCTCTGAAGTGTGGATGAACCCAGATTTTGATCTGGGTTTTCCCACTACGAGCATCTGCGACCCAGCAGTTCCCGTGCTGTAGGACAGTGCTGCTCAGTCTTGACTGTGTGTCCAGCTCAGCTGAGGATCTCACTGAACTGCAGATTCTGACGCAGTCTATTCGGGATGGGGCCTGAGAGTCTACATTGCTAACCGATTTCCAAGTGATGCCAGTGGAGCATTAAACACTAAAGTGCGAGTTTAGTAGTAGCTACAGTGTGAGGTGGTTCCGTACATAAGGGTTTTGCACAGTGACCGGCACACACTAATAAATGGTAACCATTACTATCAGCAGAAAGCATTAGCTGTGTGAAATGCCACTGAGCTACCTATTGCTAGAATATTTCACTTGTGAGTGACTAAATTGTGTCAGACTTCTTTCCTTGCTCCAGTTACGAGCTCACACTCATAAGAGTACATACTTAGGTCCCCATCTACTCTGAGAGTCATTCCCTGAGCCATAACCCTGTTTAACTGCAGCCCAGCTCCGTCACCTGTGACACATCCTGCTCCAGCTCTCTGAAGGTGGCCAGGTGTGTTTTCTCTGTCCCCTTTTGGCTTCAGGAAATTTTCAGGAACTGTAATCTGAAAGGAACAGAGTTCTGCTGAATTGCCCATAGAGATGTTTAATCTTCAGACTTTCCCAACTGCTAGAAGAGAGACACGAGAGTAGAAATGAGCCAGTCTTCGCCGAAGCAAGGAGATGAGAGTTTGGGCAGTTGCTGAAACCATTATCTACGTAATACTTGAATTGTGTCCAGGAGAGTTTGCTCGTTATAGAACAATTCCAGACTGGGACTTGGGGGAGCTATGTTCCATTCATTGTTCTGTCACTTACCGGGTTTTGTGATTTGATAGTCACATAAAGCTTTGCTTTTCAGTTTCTGTCTCGTAAGTAGGTTGGTAAAATAAGTGGGTTGGATTCATTGTGATTATTTGTTAAATCAACTTCATCTTATTCATTGTATCATGTTTGTGTAATTTTTCAAATAAAAATGAACACAAAAACTAAGGTTAATATTGAAGACACTTGCTTATGATAAGAGAATCAACCGAAATAACCATTTTCAGTGATTTTTGTGTGTTCTTCCTTCCAAATCTCAGGCCCTGGAACACGGATATACCTGATAATGTGGAAGAAGTGAAGCTTTTACTTCATATGTGGGTGGCTCTGTTTTACAGCAATCAAAACAAAGTCATACGATCATCCCGAAAAGTGGTAGAACACAGTAACCCTGCCAAATTTGTGTCTATAAATAGCACAATAGACTCTTTTGAATTCAGTGAAATTGAAGATTCCCCCGGTGTGGACAGGTGTTCTGTAGACCCTCTGCTGGAGACGAAGGGAGCCCCTAGAGGTCATAGTGCCGAAGCGTCCTTCCCTGACACCGACTCCTTGCTTCCTTTCATTAAACCGCATCCTGCAGAAGGCTTGGAACTCTGGGTACAGAATGAACAGAAAGAAATTTTTGCAAGAGAGGGTCATCCAGGTACACCAGAAAGCCAGAATTTCGTCTGTTCTTATAATAACGAGGTAAGTAAAGCTGAATATTGTAAATCGTGACATTATTTTTGAAGAACTTTTTTTCTTTGTATGTAAAATCACATTCAAAACAAGGCATTAATTTCTTCTAGGAAAGTGGATTCTGTAGCTTTCTAAATATCTGTAATGCCAGTTTTCATAAGTATCCCTCCCAGTTGTCTGCAGGTGGAGCTTATCTACTGTCCTGACTGAAGAAACAGAAGCAGGAAAAAATCATGGCGGTCAGATGATCTGGGGGCCAACCATGATGGTGTCACTTATTTGTTGTATAATATGAGGCAAATTACCTGTTCTCACTGAGCTTATTTTTCCTATCAAAGAGGCGATTAATACCCCTTATGTCTTACCTAGAATAGTGTTTAAGGATCAGATGTAGTAATAAATATTAGAAATCTTTGATAAACCTTAAACTAGAATATATTAAGATTCTTTTTAAAACATACTAGACCAGTAAGTGAAATGCCGGACCTTTCACAGGTCTATAGATAACTATTTATAAATATAGAAAATACATTTTGTTTCATTCTGTTGTTTTCAGACGATGTTTAGCCAGGCCAGATAATCAGATTTTAACTGGAGCAAATAAAAAAGTTGTATCAAGATTTTAAGTAAATGGATCGACAAAATAGCTGCCTTTTTAAGCTTTTGGCTCAGATTTATCCCAGAATAATTTTGCATGGGTTTGGGTGCCTATAGTGCCTGTCTTCACATTGGGTAGACATGCCGTGCCTGGGTCACTTGGGGATTCGCCTGTTCAGGGGTGATCCTCACAGGCTCTGTGTCTGTCTCATCGTAATGAAGACGGTTGGGGCACCGCAGCCAGGGAGAGGCCTGAGCCCTCCGCTCGCTTACCCCAGCCCATCCTCCCACGGCCCAGGGCAGCGAGGCCATCCCTCCCCCTCTCACAGGGAAACTGAGGCATGGAGAAGTACAGAAATTGCCTGAAGTCACGTAGTTAGTAATTGTCGAGCCAGGATTCAAATGTAGATGTTTCCCAGTGTCAAGTTCTGTGTGCATGTGCATGTATGTATATATATACATATGTGTGTTTATGTGTGTATACATATATCGTATGCATGAATATATGTGGTTTTTCTCCTGATGAGGTTCATAAATTTCATCTGATTCTTGACATACATAAAATCCAGTTAAGAATTACTACTTCAGAATAAGAAAATATAGTTTCGTCAGGCTGATTTTGATTATTACATATATACTGGTTTCTTACAAAGTATCTTTGGTTGTGGTAATATATAATTAACTATCATCAGTATTTTAGGAGTGATCTTGTTCAAGAATCATGTGAAAATAGAGTATCAAGTAGGAAGGTAGAGTAATAAATGATTCCTAAAAATTTCTATAGCATATACTTAAAATTTTTTCCCACCTTCTTGGCTGCTGTGCCTATACTTCAAAGGCGCGCACACGTGCTGTGCCACGCCCTTGTTCCACAGGCGAGCATACCGGGTGTGAAAAGAATTCCAACACTGGGCGTTAGAAACCAATAGCGTGTTGCGTTAGTCATGTGTTTAATTCAGCATTCTTTTAAATGACCTTTTAAGTGTTGAATTTAGCATTATTTTAGAAACATCACACTTCACCTGTAGTAAAAAAAAATATGTATCAGTCTAAATATAAGAACATTATCATGATTTGCATTTCGTTAAGCCCATGGGTGTGGTGAGATTCAGGACTGTGGTCAAACATTAACAGCCATGGAGTGATGGCGGCGGGTGGTCACACGAAAGAGCTCAGAAAGACTTACCATCAAGACATTTCTGTGCTTTGTGCCTGGCCAGTCGTGTCCTCTTAAAACACTGAGTCTCAGCTCCACCCTGTTACTCAGCTTCGTGTCTTTGGTTAAGACAAAAGGGTTTTTAATGAGATTTGAAACATAGGTCCTGACTTCCAACATGATTGTCTCAAGACATGGAAGGAAATCTGTGACCGTGATGTTCCAAAAATTAAAGATGTGTAGCCAGTTGTATAAACAACCCATTTTACCACATTCTGGACAAGACCATGCTTCAGATTTTTTTTAAAAACAAAACAAAAACCTGTTTATGAGGTTATCAAAATTACCCAGAGATATTTCTGCTAGTTTTTAACCTAAATCCACATTCCCCACCAGCCTGTTTGGTTTAGTTTATTCATGCAAACTATACTTCCTTTTCATGTGCTCTGTTGAGTAGGAGGCATTACAGTGGGAGAAATGATCTCCAGTTATAAGCAAATAATATGTCTAAGGGATAAGGGAGTTTTATTTACTAAAATGGAGATTGATACCATGGGAAAACTGCTAATCATTGTCTTCTGAGTACAGGAGATAGTGATTAATCTGTTTCGTTATGGGAAAATTCCAGATGACAGTGTATTATATTTCGTCTAATTGAAAGCTGGTATTTAAAATGTTGTTCTTGGCTTTAAAAATTGTCTTTTACTAAAAACAAAATTAATTGAGTACTTTTTCTCTAGAGCTGCATTTCTGAATTAAGTGATGGTACTTAGTAAACAGGCTGCATTTTCAAGTCTTTAAATTGTCAGTGGTCTAGCCACTTTGCTTCCCAAAAGTCCATTAAGAAACATAGGCTGTGCAGTTAGAAAGTTTTAGAGCTCTCGTCTGTGTGTTGTACATTTAAAGAAAACAAATACCTATTTGGGGATTATTTTAAGCCTGTTTAAAAAGATAGAAGATTCAAAAGAACAGACTAAAATGAATCCTCGTCTATTCTGTTCTTCGTTTATGTAAATGTTTAAAAAAATGTTTGACTTTTGATTTTTTTTTTTAATTTATTTATTTTACTTTTGTCACTTCAGATAATTGAGGGAAAAGCCGAACAAGAATCATCAGATAAACTTGTGCTTTCTGCTACTGGAAGTATCCAAACGAATGGACCTTCTATTCCCAGTGAAGGTAAAACCTTTGAGCCACTCGATAGCACAGGAGTGACTTCTTATAATGATACGGTCACGCAAACCACATTCACCAAGACTTGTGATGGGATCAGCAGTCAGTCAATGATTTGTCAGAAGTCTGTGTATAGCACCCTTGAAAGCAAAGCTGACATTTTTCATGCAACAGTACAAGCAAAAACAAGTGATTTACAGGGACTTACCCAGCATGGCAGCCCCATAAACAAAGAATGTCAGCCTTCACTGGAAAGGAAGGACGATATGGGGGGTTATGTAATGCTTAATCTGGAACCAGTTACTGTCACCTTTGAAAAGAATGCCTGTTCACCAGTACAAACAGAAGTCGTGAATAGAACTGGTAAACCTACATCCTTTAACGTGGAGTCAGTGAAACAAGTGTCACCTGCTACAAGTCTTAAACATCCGGGACCCACATTTGAAAGGGCAGAGACACACAGTCTTACGGACATTTCTTCTCTAGCAGCCTCAGGGCAGAATGGTGCTCAGTGCCACCATGCCTCTGCAGGGAGTGGAGAGACGCTTGCTAAGGAAACGTGCTCATTACGCAGAGAGATCCCTGTTCCGGGCTCACCACCGTCGTCTGAAGATTTGGTGGTGGAGGAGGCCTTGCCACTAGTTAAGAGTTCTCATCATTCATTGCCCAGAGAAGAAGTAAAACTCTCTCAGGAATTTTTCCCGCAGCCTGAGCGTCTCTTTAGCGTATCTTCAGAAGAGATTATGGAGCCATCACAGGTTGAAGAAGCCTCATCAGCAGCCTCTGCCACCTTAGAAAAAAATTACTCCTTTAACTGCATTCCATCAAGAAGTAGTACATCAGATGGCTCTTTAGAAGTAAAGAGTGACGAGAGTGGTCTAAACAGTGAAAATGGGAATTTTAAATCTTGTAATTCAGTGTTTACCAAACCAACCAACCTATCCATAAGTGGAGAGGAAGTCAGCCTAGAGTTAGAGGACGATTCTGACATCGACCTAACTCTCACAATGTCACCACCTACAAGTCCCAGAGGAGAAATGCCAGCTGGTGAAATAGAGCAACACCAGGAGGCCCTCTTATCAAAGTTACAGCTCCAGGATGTGGATGAAGACATAATCGAGTCAGAAAGGGTGGCTTTCACAGAAAACGGAGAAGTGAATTCTGCTGACTATGCACCAGTGCTTCCCACAGGGTCAGAGAGTGAGGACAGAGAAGGTGACCGCTTCCGGGCGCTGACTTTAGTGCTCCCTAAAGGGGCTTGTGCCCTTGAGGTTGCAGAGGAGGTTAACATCACCTCGGACTTTCCCTTTGGGTCTTTAATTGAAGAAGTGTCACCAGCGTCTAGTCCTGATCCCCAGGTGCCAGTAGAAGCAGCACTGCCGTCTCAGGTTGTGTCCCCACGCAGTTTAAAGCGCCCTGACTCACAATGTGAGAAAAGTGATACGTTCTCCCAGGTCGAGTCAGTGGATTTGGCCGTCACAGACAAGGAACATCCTTTTGTTGGTCCCGCCCACCCCGTGGGACAAGATAACTTAGCTTGGGTTCAACAAGTGAAGCTTTCTGCCGAAATGCCTCTCGTGTTCAATGATCACCCAGGAAGAAGAGAGAGACCTTTGACTCTCCTGGGTAGAGTAACTGAGGAAATTGTCCCCAGTGAGCATGACGAGGCTTTCTCTTTCTCAGAACAGGTGCCGTGCTGTGGTACAGAGTTAACCCAGCCTGCCTCAGTGGCTAGTTTTGGAACTGACTTAAAGACTTCGCTAGAAAAACTGGTAACATCGGGAAATCCATTGCAGCCAGTTAGTATAGAGAACAGACATTCAGACTTAAAGCGCCTTGCCTGGGACACCAGTGAGCCTCCATTTAGTTCTAGAAAGATTGTGGAAAATAAGTCTTTGGCTGACACGTTTGTTTCTACAGCCGCTCCCAGTGGTATAGTGCATGTGCCATTAAAACAGACAAGCCCTAAAAGCATTAAGAAAAGTCCCTTTAGCAGTGCTGTGGCAGCAGATGAAGGCAGTGGCCTGCAGGCTCAGCCCCTGAGCTGTGCCGTGGTCATGGGAGGTGTTACGCAGGCATACGTGCACTCAGAGACCCCCACACTGGCTTCTTCCTCAGGGGGCGCTGCTGTAACCCATTGTACGAGACCCAGTAACACAGGGACGGGGTTTCAGACACAGGAACTGTCAGTCAGGATGGCCAGTTTGCTTAATAGTGAGCCTGAAGCTGAGCTACATGAAAAAGCCATGGATGTAGGAGGTGTCGGCTCTCAGTCAAACACCCCTCCAGAAGGCAAGCAGGAGACCATGCACGTGCCGCAGGATGTGTTGACATGTGGAACAGAAGATGTGGTGAATGGCGGGCTTTTCCCCGTGTGTTTCCATGCTGGTCCTTACCAAAATACAGCCGTCAACAGTGAAAATGCCAAGAAAGAGCCTCCTGCTACTTTTGGTGCCAGATCTTGTACCCCTCTTGTTTGTGGAGTCTCTGAAGAGCAGGTGGAAGACAAGACCGTTGGTGAGGGGCTCAGGGCCGAGGACCCTGCAGCGCCGGGTGGGGACGTGGGTATCATTGCGAATCCCCATATCCCTTATGAACCCCTTTCCGGAGGCTCCGATCAAGACATTCCTGGTGAGTGCGGAAGTCTCCAGTTAGATATGGAGGGTTCCTGCACTTCGCGGTGTACTCACACCAAGAAGAAAGCGGCTTCAAAAGATGGTTATGACTCTTTCCTGAGCCTAAATAACAGTGATAATGAAAGCTGGGGCTACTCTAACCGAGGCCCAGGGCTGGAGACCAGCGTACCTCCCAGAAACTGGTCCGTCGGATTGAAGAAAGAAGGTCAGTGTGTGCCGCGTTACGTCCAAATCAGGGATTGCCACGGCATCCCCAGGACTTACGCTAACTTTAAAGTAAGTAAGGAGCTCAGAGAGACCAGGAGGACGCTGCACTACCCAAAGTGGCACCCCAGCTTCACTGCACACGGCGGCTTGCTCAGCTCTTGGACAGATCCTTGGCGGATGGCAGATGACCTTACCCAGAACACTTTAGATCTGGAATATCTGCGTTTTGAACATAAACTAAAACAGATTGTGAAGAATGGGGATTCTCAGCGTCCTGCCTCTTCCAGCAGCGGCTTTCTGAAGGGGTCACCTCTACACATTGCTGCTGGAGCGTTCCCTTTGACACGTGTACCCGAGGCCCCAGTTCTGTATCCTGCATCCCGGAGCAGAAGTCCCCTTGTGATAACAGTCGTGCACTCGGATGCCAGACAGCAGAGTCAGCACTTGAGAGGCCACATGCCCAGCAGCTCGGACACATCTTCCTTTTGGAAGGAGAGAGGTGGCCACGGTAGAAATCATCTGACAGGTTCTGAAAGAAGTCAGGCTGTTTCATGCCACCTCAACAAACTGAAGTACAACAGCACTTTGAAAGAGTCCCGGAGCGACATCGCACTCATCCTCAGCGAGTATGCAGAATTCAACAAGGTGATGATGAATCGCAGCCCGGTCGTCTTCCAAGATAAAGAGTCAAATGTTGCTTCTCGAGAAGCCGCATCTCAAGAGTTGTACTCATCTTCCCCAAGAAGGTCAGCCTCCTACGAAGACATGATCACGGACTTGTGTGCCAGCCTGCACATCAAACTGAAAAGTGTCGTGAAAGACGCTTGCAAAAGCCCCTTCCTGTTCTACCTCGTTGAGACGGAGGACAAGTCCTTCTTTGTGAGAACAAAGGTAAGCTGCCAGATTTTCCTGAGAGTGTTATTATTTTCATTGCTGTCTACTTTTATTTTAAAATGAATTGAGCATTCTTGGCTTCAGAAAGAAATGATAATGAAGCAGTATTTGGGTTTCCCAGCCCAGTCTTTATCTGCACACTAAATGTGAGGCTGACAGGGATCTGCCATCAGCGTTCTACTCAAAGATATGTATGACGTTCCAGAATTAACGCGGTGACTAATTTTCACAAAAAGTTACCAGTACAGACATACTCAACTTCAAATGTAAATACAAACATGTTCCAAAGGTAAAATTCAGATTTTTAAAAATTGTTACCCGTGTTCCTTCATTAGTTTAGATAGTTGAGAGGGACCTCTTTTGGTTTTGGATGTGTATTTTTATTATCGACTATTAGGATAACTGATATTCTGCTGAGAACATGGTCTTCGAGATGATGTAACTGTGGTAAAATTCTAACTCGGTAGGAGCCAGATCTGTCTGGATTCATCATTAGCTTCCTCATTTTATCCTTTCAGGATTTTTTCTTCTACTTTTGAAAAAGACAGCATCCTCTCCTGTTTTAACTTTTAAAATATAATTTCACATATATAAAATTTAAATTATAAGTTAAAATATAGGGTTAAAGATTGCAGAAGTGATACCCTTTTCCCAGATACCTCACTTTTCTGAACCATTTTAAAACATGTTGTGGACACGACACCCCATCACCCCTTCAAACCTGAGTGCTCGTTACCTTCGGGTGAGGTGACGCACCGCCCCTCTGCGTTGAGGGGCACTGTGTGCAGGGACACGCACATGGGGTCATAGTACAGCCCTGAAAATTGGGACGTGAGCGTTGATGCACTGTGCCTGTCCGGCGCACAGATCCCCGTCGGTCCAGCATCACACGTCGACTGCTTGTCTGTGTGTCGCATTCCTGGTCCGTGAGTATTTCTCACTTGGCTCAGATGGTTCCTGCTAGGCCCTCCAGAGTCCAGTCAGTAAGCGCGGCGTGGTTACTAGCAAGTGGAGGCTAGTGGAGGCACAGAGGGACTTGTAGATGTCCACTTCCTGGTGAGACTCGCCCACCAGGCTTCACAGCTGACTCCTGGCCAAAGTGCTTATTACTACTGTCATGGTTGCCACAGGGCGGTGTTCTGATTCCATCACTCCTTGTATGTTTATTAGTTGGCATTCTCCTGTGGGGTGGAATGTTCCCTTCTCTTCCATTTGTTCATCTGCATGTTTTACGTCAGTGCAGACCCATGTTCCGTATGGATTTACTCAGAGTTACCATCTGGTCCTTCATTATTCGTATTAAAGCTCAGACCCAGCTCGTGCGAGTTCCTTCAAGCTGGCTTCTGCGTCCTTTTGACAAATCCCCATAATTCTTGGACACGTTCCTCCTTTATGGTGCAATGTGATGGTACAGGCTTATCTTCCATATTCCCTGTCTCAGCCTTGAAGTCAAGGAGCTGTGATCATTTTTAGTGAATAGCGCTTGGAATTAAGACTGGGCTGTGGGTAAACTCAGTGGCACTGCGTTTGTCCTCCCAGCAAACAAAACCAGTCAACATGTGTATGTGGTGAACATAAACTTCTGTTTTTGTGTTCATGTTTAAAAAACAAAGTGGGAGCACGCCCATCTCCGGCCCATAGTGCCCCAGCATGTTTGCCCTGGACTCCCCAGGAAGCCGGCCCCCACGCCACGTCTCTGCTGCTGATGAGAGTGACAGTTGTCACAGACAGCACCTTAGAGGAGGAGGAGGAGGAGGAACATGAGGGTCTAGGTGTGGAGGGTGCAGTGGACATGGCACAGGTGCGGATCCAGCCCAAGGGGCCCGAGGGGTTCCCTCAGGGTTAGAGGGGAACCCCGGACCCAGTGAGGAGGGCTGCGTGCGCCCTCAGGAAGGGCCCTGCAGCTGGAAGGGCCTTACAGAGGTCACGCTAAGGCATTCACTGTCCTGAGGTCCTTGGGGAGGAGGCTCTGAAAAGTAATTTCTAAAAGGGGAATCACAAGTTTGCATTTCGGTGCGAGCGCTCAGCTAGTGTGGGACGTGGGTTGGAAGAATGACAGATAACAGACTTTAACTGGTCACTGTCGTTGCTGGTCAGCACACACTCTTCCCTAAGATGAATGATGGCTCCTAGTTTATATTATTCAAACGTCATTTTAAAATATTCAAAGTTTTCCAAATTTTTGGAGTCTTATTTTTGTGTAACAATATTTTCCCTATCGAGGATTCTTTTGTTCTCTAAGGTTCTTCATAAATGGTTCCAGATCTGTGTCCTTATTACCCCCCGCCTGTTTTTGTTCCAGTTTCCACACTGGTAAGCGGTGTAGTTGAAAAAGCATTAGACGGTCTTCAGTCTTTTTGAAGGTGCTCGGCCTCCAAAGTAACATGGAAATGAGTTTCCTTTTTACCTTGAATTAAAGTTTTCTTTTTTTTGCTTAAGGATATATATATATCCTGCACCCTGACGTGTGCTACAGTAAGGCAGGGGTAGACTGGGTTAGCGTCACGGCCGTGCCCATTTTGCCACAGAATACTTGATTTCTTTTTGCTTCCATCTTCTCAAAAGCAATAATGCAGTATCTTTGTTCTCACACCCTTTACCGAGCAGATGATACTGGTTTTCACGTAGGAGGTCATAGCTGTCGTGTTTATTACGATAGCAGTACTGGTAGATACCCTGTTTGTTTCCATGGTGAATGCATTGTTTCATTGTATTTTACCATGAGGACACTATTTACAATCGAAAAGAACAAATTTTGTGTGAAGATATAACTAATCTGCAAGTGAGAAAGTGGACACATCATAAAATGGGAATAAAGTGCTGTCAGGCAAAACATTTTTAAAAGCTCAGAAAACTGTCCCTGTAGTTCTCCCATCCTGGAGATCCCTGATGTGTTTGTTGGTGACAGGATGCCAGGCCCCGAGTATTGGTGAGATGAAGATCTGAGGTCCTTTGTTATTGTCAAAATTCAGAGTGCTTGACAGTGCCCAGACCACCGCAGCATTGGATGAAAATACTGCACATGACAAAATGTATTCATTCAAGTAGTTTATTAGTAAAATAAGCGAGGGCTAAAGGTTTATGTTAAGATATTTTAGTGGGCTCTGTTCAAAGCAGTCTTTCCTGTAGGAATGCCTTTGAAAATGCACTGCCATACATTTCAAGTGAATTGAAAGTCAAAATTTGAGTTGTTTTGAAATCCAGGGGAGACTGATCAAAGCAACAGTATTTTTATAAAGGAAATATTGGCTTAAGTAGGAACATCACAGTGTGCGATGGAAACCTCCAGAATCCTTCGGACAGAGGGAGGACCGGGTTAAGGAGTGCCTTTAACTGTGTGAGCTTCCCCTCCCCCTCCGTCCCCTCCCCTGAAACAGAGTAGCTACAGCAGAGCAGATCCTACAGCCCTGCACACCCCCGCTCGCCCCCGCTCGTCTGGGGGCGCTCCCCGAACCTGTCCCCTTAATGATACTCGAAGTAATGCTTAACTGTTTGGGTATATTTTCAAGAGTCCTAGAAACGTCTTGACTGGAGGTGGCATTTTTAGAGTATATCTCTGCATCCCCAAGGTAATTCCCTTGAAGAGGGTGAGACTCATATTAGTTTGATGTTTAAAAAGAATCAGCCTTTGATACTTTATGGATGTAAAAGATTTATTATAAAGTGATTTGTTGCCTTTGAAATAAACTTGTACACCCAACTGTGCCTAACATCGAGGAGTCGTTTGTTCCACGGGTGAGAGCCTGGGAGTCAAACTGCGGCTCGTGCTGGCCTGTTGTAAACGGTGTGCCTCCCGATGTCCTCAGTGAACCACGAAGGTCACTGTGCCAGCACCCTTCTCAGTGACTGCTCCTTGTAAATCTTTCAGACGCTCCTGAGGAAAGGAGGCCACACAGAAATGGAACCTCAGCATTTCTGTCAGGCTTTTCACAGAGAGCATGACACGCTCATGGTCATCATCAGAAATGAAGATATCGCATCACATCTACATCAAGTAGGTTTGAAAATATCTTTCTTACAAAGACATGTATGACAGGCATTTAATGCCATTCAGTTATCAGACTCGTCACTGCCTTTTTTATCTAGGGAAGAAGTTAAAACCCAATACTACTGACCCTAACTGGGAAGGTAACGGGGTTGAGATGTGCGATAGGATACTGTAATGGTCACAGCCAAGGTATTGATGGGGCAAAATATGTTTCAGAGTTAAGAAAATTTTCATATGAACTAAGGGAGACTGTAAAAAAGAGATATGGGTAAATTTTCATCTAACAGTAATCTTTAAAAGGAGTCGTGACTATTTACCTATCAGTCGTATACAAGTAGTTGCTTCTCCCAAGATCTGCCTGCCTTGCGGACGCAGGCTGGGTGCACACCCCTGCGGCAGGAGGCAGCACCTAACCCAGACCTCTAGCTCTGGCACCAGCAGAAGCTGGGACAGCACGATGGGGTGAGTTTGTTACCTGTCTGATTACAGGTCCCCCAAACCTGACGCATACTGTTCCTTCTCACTGTCTCCAACCGCTGGAGTTGTAGAGACCATTTTGTAATTAACTAATTCTAATGAGTTTGCAGCACTGGTGAACTGAGTTATATTCCTTACATGTGGCAGAATTACCCATCAGTCATCCAGGTTAAAGGTATTTTTGGCTGTTCCTGAATCTTGAAACTCTCAGATAAAACTGACAAAAACGACCCAGTGAGCCTGTTTTCAGTAGGGGATCCTTTTATTGTTAACAGATTCCTTCTTTGCTGAAGCTGAAGCATTTTCCCAGTGTCACCTTCGCTGGAGTAGACAGCCCTGAAGATGTTCTCAGTCACACCTACCAAGAGCTGTTTCGGACAGGCGGCTTTGTGGTGTCAGATGACGGAGTATTAGAAACTTTAACATTAGGTTGGTCTTTTAATTTCCTTTCTTTTCTTTGGAATCTAGTCCGATCAGTGTCTCAACTAGTGACCCAAATATCATTTCCAGAGAGAAATTATCGATTCATTATCGGTCCCCATCTCTTGAAAGCTGGGCCAGGCACCTCCCGAGCTCTCAGCCTCATTTTACAGGGGTCTTCGCCACCACCCCGGTCCCATGCTTCCCTTGGGAATGTGGCTGAAGTCCTGGTCATACAAATTTGAGACTTGTATCTGACCCCTTCACTTGCCAAATCCACTCTTAGTTTTTTGTTTAGAATCAGCTCATCCCCATTTGTTGCCGTCGCACATGCCATCGTGTCAATAGCGGGGAAATCTACAGAAACGGCTGCTCAACGTTTATCTGCTTGAACAGCCCTGGAGTTGACGCTCGAACAGCGTGGGTGTGAACTCTGGCACCCACTTAACTTGACCTGAGCAGTTCACAGCAGCGTTGTTCGCAGTCAGCCGGAGGCTGGGGACCTGTGTGTGTGGGGGCCGTTTCCGTTACACTGGGAGGACAGGCGGTGCAGAGGGCCCTGTGCAGTTCCTTTGCATGTCAGAGCCCAGGACAGACGCTTTCGTGTATGGTCAAGCCCACCCTGTGGCCCTGACCACCTTAAACTCCCTGGATGCCACTTCTGGGCTAGAAGCTAAGCGGCACGGATTCTGCACAGACACCGGAACTGCGAAGTATTTGTAGATATGTATTAAGAAACCTAGACTTTGGCCGTGTAACATCTGTACCATGTTGAGAGCATCAGTGCTGGTCATCGCGGGGCTCTGGGTCTGTACTGCAGGTCGTTAGGGCTGATTGGGGCCACATGAGTGCGGGGGGATTCTGCCAGCTACACACAAGACAGCAGTGGTGTGCATTCACCTGGGCTCTTGTTCTTTACAAGGAATAATTTCTGGGCTTTGACTAGACAAGCCACAAACCTTAAAATACACTTTTCATTCTGTAGTTCAACTGAAGGAAATTGTAAAGGTCCTGGAGAAACTAAATGGAAATGGCAGGTGGAAGTGGCTGCTTCACTACAGGGAAAATAAGAAGCTAAAAGATGTCAGGTAAGCGGTGGGGACGCCATGGGCCTCACCCAGAAATGGTGGCTGTGCCCTGGACTATCAGCGCTGGGGCATGTGGGATGGAAGCCATTCGCGTCACACACAGTTTAGATCTGCTGGTTTGGGTTTTGGTTCCATAGCAGAGCTTTCAGTGTGTTGTAAACATCAGCGAGAGTTTGAGGCCCACCCAGGCTTTGAGTAGCTGCGTCTAGACCAGCAGAAGCAGAGAAGTCCCTAAAATGTCCCAGGGTTAAGTTCAGGCCCCACTGCTGTGAACTTTTAAAAAATAAAACGAACCGGCCCCTTGCTACATTTAATGCTCTTTAAGGCATCAGAAACAGAAGGAAACACTGAGATGAGAGTATAGCTTTAAATGAATTTTACCCTTAGAGTATCAGGAGGCAGACCACTTTAAATGTACAGAATAAAATTAACAGTATTTTTAGAAGAACAGTCCTGATTGATTCCTTGGCTGTAGAGAGCTGGGCAGGCGGGCTTTTCCACAGCAGAGGTTTGCTAAATGCCTGCCTTGGGCACTTGAGGTGGTTTATTTAGTGTTGCTCATCTTGTTCTAACTGTGCAGGGGAGGTCCGTGGCTCGCCCCACTTAACTTGTAGGACTGGCACACAGAGGACAACAGGCCTGACTCGGGTGGGACGTGGAGTCAGTCAGTCTGGAAGCTGGGCCTGTCCCCCACAGTGTGCGTCTCTCAGATGACAGACCTTTCCCCACGCAGCCGTCTCCCAAGGAGAGCAGACTGAAGTGTGCGTAGCGCAAGTGCACAAGGTCTTGAAAGACGGCTTACAAGTTCAGGGAAGACTACTCAGGGAGGGGAGGGACACTGGGACAGGGCAGCCAGGAGGTGACAGGGTCTAAGGCTGTAACCACGACCTAGGTAGCTAGCAGTTCAAGAATAATGACAAGCAAATTAAAGCACCAACGAGATGCCACAGCACACCTATGAGCAAGGAGAAATGAATTTGGCATTTGTAAAACTTTGGGTAGACAGAAATCCTTCCACCACGGCTGGCACTGCAGTGTGCTCTTCACGCCATGCTGGTCTGGCCTGACGGGAGCTCATCGCATCTTCTGACCTTTGGGGAATTTATCTAAAACTAAAACCAACCTTAGGTTTTAAAAACCACTATTTCTCCAAAGGTTTTAGCGATGGGTGGTTATCGGTAACTACAAAACCAGCCTCAACTTCATCTCTAGGCAAATATAAGAAACAGATATATGGACTAAGCAGATAGAGACAGATATGTAAAATAATGCCACAGAACTTGACACAGGAAATAGAAGCATGTAGTTTCTATTTAGTCACAGAAAATGTAACATAGAACAGTTGGTATCTTAAAGCTGTACAGTGATGCCAATCATAAACCAGTATATACAAAAAATAAAGCCTGGAAGGGAATTCACATGATGTGGGTACTGCCTGTCACTGGAGTGGCGGGGACCTGTGTGACCTCCAGCAGGGAGGAACGTGAGTGCAGGACAGATGGACTGAAGAGCAGAGGCAGAGTTGCCTAAAAGTCAAACATTTTCCTCTGAAAGAGGAAGAAAAAAAGATGGGTAGTTAACAAGGACGGTGAGAAATTAAGGAAAAATTATGTTAGATGATTTTAATGAGAAGTATAGAAAAGAGGTTTTGAAGAGAAAAGATTTGGAACCACTGCTGTGTAGTAGCGAATGCAGTTAGAGGTCCCTGAATTCCCAAAAGGCTTGCCCAGTCAGTGTCAGAAGTCCGGGCGGGTGAACAGGTAGGTGGCCCTCCTGCTTGCAGTGAGGACTGTGCCTTTGTTAAAATCTGTGTTTGCAAAAGTTCGCTTGTGATGCTTTGAGGGAACGTGACAGGAAGGCAAGTGTGTCGTGGAAAAGAACAAAGGGAACAAGGATCTCAGGAGTGTGAGTATCGTGAATGCAAGAAAAGATACACTGAACCTAAATTTAACATTCCTATGGATTTTCCAGAATGGATTCAACTGCACATAAGAAGAACTTAATACTGAAATTGTATCAGAGCGCGAACATCATTGAATTGCTTCATTATCATCCGTGTGACTCTCCATCGTCAACCAAAGCAGAACATCTGAAATGTCTGCTAAACCTGCAGACCCAGCACATCCAAGCCAGGTTTGCTGTCCTCCTGACAGGTAAAGTCACAGCCTTAGTTCTGCTTCAGTCTCATCAATCACATGCAAAAATAGGCCAACTCTAGACATGTCCTTGCAGGTGGAGCCACTGGGCACCCTGAGCCACGTGGATGTGGCCAGGAACCGGCTGCTAGCTGGGCAAAGGGGACCACAGGTTCTGTCTAGTTCATCGTCCTCAAATACAGTTTCTTTCTATTTCTATTAAGTTTTATCATCTCCTACAAGTCCTTAATTTTATACTTTAGTTTTTTAATGTGACTCTGAAGCAAGCTTTTAACAGTTATTTAAGGAATGACTACAGTTGTCATTTCTCACTGGTTTTCAGCGTCTCCCACTTCCCCCTCGCCGAGGTGGCTGCTCCCAAAACTTCAAACCTTTTCCTGCACTTGAACCAGACTCCTTCTACACCTCTGCAGTATTTACAGTATTACGGGGTCAACAAGATTTTTTTTTAACAAAGGGGGAGAGATTCCTGCTACTTTACAAAAATGTACTTTAATGTTGAATAACTAGTTTGTACTCCTGAAGCTAATATAACATTGTGTCCCCTATAGTTTTAAAAAGTACATTAATGAATTGTTCACCAAAAGTTATTTTTCTTTTTACAGAAAAGCCTACTGTCTCCACAGAAGTCTTTGAAAATAGTGGCATTCTTGTTACAGATGTAAACAGCTTTATTGAAAATATACAAAAAGTTGCAGCTCCATTTAGGAGTAGCTATTGGTAAGAACACTTTTACTAACTGCCATCTGTGAGGAAGTGGTTGCCCAAAAACTGTTCTTTACCTTACAGATCGTGTTGTACACTGAAAATGTTTAGGGGTGGAGGGATGTTCTGAAGTATCAGGAAATAGGCAGCCTACTCTGAATCAATCACCCATTTTCTGTTAATGACATGCATTCTCACTGTAGCTCAATCCTGATCACCAAGACAAGAGAATGTGACCTCACAGTGTGTAGTTTTCCGCAGCAGGTTGCACCCAGTTTATAAAATAGTAATTCCATCTTTAAAACGAAGTAACCGAGAACTATCAATTTTTGTCTCTCTCCAGGTGATTCAGCTGCAGCTTGCCTAGACGTCAGTGATGTCAACTACAAATCGAATGTTCCCTTTTCTTTGAAAACTTCGAGGTACACATGAGGCTTTTACAACTTGGGAGAAAGTTTTCCTGCTTTCGTTTTTGATATTCTGCTAAAATGTCTGACTTCATTCAGAGTGACAACCTTAGTTGTCCATTAGCTTTGGGTTGCAGTGTTAAATATTTTGTTTTAAATTATTTTCATTTTAAACAATGCCTTGAAAGCTATTGAACTCAATGTTAAAAATAATTTTATAAACGTGTTTACTCAATTGTAGCAGAGTGTTTTAACCAACAGCTTTGTTTATGCATGTTAATGTCAAAAAGGCCTAGATGTAATGCATGTTAGAGTCTGTTCTTAAAGGTTTCACCACCTTTATAAAAACTATAATCTTAACTGTTTTATTTGCTATTATTCAAGCAACACTACATAAAGTTAAACTTTTTTTCTAAGTGGTACGAATTTATAAACTGTCATTTTTCACTTATTCAGTTTTGTATATAGAGCACTACAAAATCAACTCTTCTGAGGCAGAAATATTTATATTAGAAATAATTTCTACAATCTTTAAAGTGTAAAACCAAGCAAAAAACGTTTGTAAGATACATAGTATCTATTTGGAACAAAGGTTTTTTTTTTTTAACTAATTTGTTTCCATTTTTTTTTTTTTTAAATAAAGACAACTGAAAACTGTTTCTGCAATGACTGGATAGAAAAAAGTGGAGTTATAGAGATGTCTCAGCGGGGGGGACCCTACCACTCATGTCGCTTTGGCCTTGATCTGTCACTCTGGTCCCTAGAGACCTGCCCAGTGCTCAGAGACCTCCCCAAGTCAGGAGCACTGAGCAGCAAGCTACAGAAAGAGGACATTCATGGGACTTTTCACCTGGTGCTTTCTATGGGGCTGTCAGACCTGTACATAGAAACTTCTTCCAAAAGCCATTCTTCTACTTCACGTGTTATTTTCTCAGCAGGACTCAAAGAGTTTTATTGACACGAGCTTTTGCTTAGAAACCTATTTTTATAATGTACCCTAGGGATAAGAATATAATAAGACCATAAGCCATATTCGGTACTGAGCCGATTTGACATTACTGAGGAAGAGCAGACATTTAACCTATTGCTACCTGCCAAGTGCTGTCCAACTGACACTCATCTTGCAGGCTGTACCTCAAATGTTCGTCTCCCCTAGCTGAAACGCCTGCCACCACCCAGCCCACAGGGCCACCTTTCAGTTCCCCTACTACCTTTTCTATGACTGGTTTTACATGTAACCAAGCCATAGACAGTGAGTCTAGGCTAGACTGTGATCTCTTCCGTCTCTGTACCCCATCAGCCCGGCAGTAAGCAGTTTGCATGAGTGAAGAACATGCAAATCCTACTATATTTTCTTTCCACCTACTACTAATCCAGCTTGTGCATCTGCCTGCACGAATAGTTTACAATGTAAAGTATTGTGAGGGCAATGCTTGCTGGAACTTTAGATAACCTTATCATGCAAAGGCGTGATTCTCAACTGGGGTGATTTGTGCCCCGGGAGGCGTTACAGTCTCTGGAGACATTTCATTACCCTAGTTCTTTTAACAGATCTACCTTCTGTAAGAATCGATATTCACCGTAAGAGAATACAGTTGTCACACCTTAGGTAAATGGTTCCTATCCAGGGAGGCTTAGAACTATCAGGGTGAAAGGAGGTACTAAAGACGATTTCTAACTACAGTGTAAATGAGTTCCATGAAAACATTAAAACACCTATTCCACCTGACCATTTATAAATGCTGCTATAAGCAAAATTATCAAAGGCAATAACTTGCAGTTGTGTGGAAAATACTTGTTCTCAACCACTACTAAGACCAAGTCTCATGGTTCTGGTGTGTTGAGTGTAACTAGGGGTCTACTCACAGTGAAGCCAGATGGGGACTCTATCCTCCAAGTTCGTACCTTCACGGTGTGACTGAGCTCACTCCTCCCTCTGGCATTTCTGCTAGCATCAGCTTCAGCTCTACTGAAGGAAACAGACAGCTGCGTCATGGTCGGCACAATGCTCGGGGCTCTTAAACCTCAGGACACAAACAGACCAATCGAGAGGGAACTGGTTTCCAGAGTTTGGCTTTATTTTGCAGTACAGAAATCATGTGGAGCCATTCTGAGACAGGCATCATTGAAGGAGGGGCTCTGTAAAATCGATACTGCGTTACAGCTTGGTCCATTGGAGAAGCCACACTTGGGAAACAAAAGAAGCTTCTACATATTGACCTGCTTTATGATAGGTTTCGTCCCCCTTTGCTCTCATCAGTTATTCGGTTAAAACACTGCACACAGGCTTCCTCCAAAATGACTCAAAGTCTGGAGTTAGGTTAGAATTTTCAGGCCACATAAACCAGACTTGTGGCTGCGCTAAATGGCACTGTCTTAATACCTGACAGAACATAAAATGTAAGCTATACAGAAAACCACAGGGTTCTGTCCCGTTATGGGACATTTGGTTTCAAATCTGTCAGCACCGGGTACTGACCCAGGGCCCGAGCAGAAGCACGTAACTGCAAAGCTTACGCTGATTAAAAGATACAATACTGTATCGAGATCCCTGTATTAGGATCGCAACTTTTCTTTTTTTTTTTTTAAATTTATCCATCACTAGAAAAAAAAGCCAGCATCGCTTAAACTGTACAGAGTGTGGTCACCTGCCAATTCTGAATAGCCACTCCAGGAAAACGAGTTAATACATGATGTCGGAAAGGGGAGGAATACTGACTGGTGCAGTGCTCTGCAGCCCTCCGCTGTGGTTACAAAAGCAGGCCTCACGATATGGATTTCATACATTACGAATCATTTGCCAAATTTTAAGTTTGTCCTAATTAGATAACATGTATCGCTGTTAGTCTTCCCCATAGATGTCATTTTTCTTGCGCTTCATTTCCTCAAAGTCAAACTCTGATCCTGTCATTCTCTTATAGATGTCCTTAATGTCATCACAGGTCGTCTCAAAGTGAGTTGTGGCATCATAGGCACGGGAAATAAAGATCTGGAAGTAAAAGTGAGAAAGACATGAGCCCACTCAGGGGAGTCTCCCTGGGGAGCCTGGGGACACCCTTTTCAGGTCACCACGCTCACCTGGCTCTCTGTTCCCAAATCCTTTGGTACGAGCAGGTCACTGATGCTAACGAATCTGGAGAAAAAGAATTAAGTGAGCAGGTGCGCTGACCCCACAGGACGGGACTGGTAGAGATGAGATGCGGGGCACGGTCCGGGCCTCGCAGGGTCTGCCCCGCCACACGGCCCAGCCGAAGGCTCTTGGAGTTTCCGCTGGTACACACGAACACGTCACTTACTTCTGCTCAATTGGTTCCAAGAGCTCCAGAGCGGGTCTGATCTCCTTCTCGGGCTCCTTGGTCTCCACGGTGGTGCTGACGATGGCGATGTACTTGCCCTGCGCTGCCACGTTGTGTGCAGAGGAGATCATGCAGACGTAGATGTCTGGAAACGAGTCACCATCTCACTGCTGAGGTCTGCGAACCCCGGGCCTGCGTGCGCTCGGGCTCACCCGTATTTCATCAAAGTGAATTAAAATAGCTCGAAATAGACAGTACCTTCTAAGCTAAGTGCTAGGCATGTGGAGGCAAGCAGGGTCACACACGGAACATGCAAATATTTAGCGACTTTTAGCCTACCAGAGATGAAGCATTTATGTGACAATGACCCACTGGACTTGGAAACGAGACTTTCTCTCCCAGCTGTATCACAGGTTAACTGAGAACCTGGCAAACCACAGTAAACGTCCCGGGAGCGTCTGCTTCACTAAGCCCTGTGGTTAGAAAGGTTCTGAGTGGCTAAGAAACGGTTTATTGGGCACAGATGCTCCTCGGCTTAGGACGGGTACATCCTGTCAAGCCATCATAGGTAGGGGGACAATATCTTAGGTGGAGATGTATTTAATACACCAAATGGCAAAATCATTTAACGCAAAGCCTGTTTTGTAATAAAATGGTGACTGTCTCCACTTACTCAGTACTGTGCTAAAAGTGAAAACCAGAATGGCGGTTACCACTTTTGTATCATGTTAAGGTCAAAAAATCCTAAATCGAACCATCATAAAGTGGGGGGGACGTTCTGCACTGATTTCTCATTCATTTAATATAATTACGAATCAGCGTAAGCTGCTGAGTTGCTGTAAGGAACTCTAATTCCATAGGTCCTGTTGGTGTGTATGCCCTAAGCGACTACAACATTTCCAGTGCAGACAATAATCACTGGGTTCCCTTCTCCTCTCAGACCTTTGCAGACCCAAGGCTCTGCTTGGGAAGCCCTGAAAGATTACTTCCACCTAAGTCTCTGTTCTAGTAACAATCCTCTAGATAGATTGTTTCCTATATGGAAAAAAAATTAAATACAGATAGTTCCTAACTGTCCACTTTAAAGCTTTAATCCTCCTCAAACTGAATTTGGGGCTTCCGACTGAAGAGAAGACAAGAAAAGCCAGTAGATGAAAACAACTGGTTAAAGCAAAGATGAGGAATTACGATTTTAGAGTTAAAGCCTGATCTTATCAGAGAATTTGAGCTGTGTTCTAGCACACCGCTAAAATCAAATATAAGTATTAAGTTGACAAATAATGACGTAACAGCAGCATCGTCATCAGCTCGAAATAGTGGAGTCAGGTCGCTAGTAAGCACAAGCCCACAGGCCGGCACGCAACGGCTGGGGCCGGGTCCACTCCTGCTGCTCAGCCCGAGGAGGAGGAGCCAGGGGCCCAGAGCAGCGCATGGAGCCCGAGGCAGGACTCTCCTAATCTAAGCTGTTCCTTCAGTGTGGTTGGTCATTTAGGATCTGAGCTAAAAGGGATCCATCACGTTTTGTTTTCCACGTGTAATCTAAAGCTGCTTCACTATAACAGCAGATAAAATGACGAATTTGGGGTAAAACAAAGCAAATTATGTCCAACAGAATTCTACAAATAGCTGATCTTAGAAACTCACCCGACTTGCGATTAACCTGATTCTGTGGGAGGATGACCTG